CACAGCTGTGGTGAAGCTTTGACTCTAATTCTGATTTCTCTCCTTTAATATTAGGCACCAGCAATCTTTAAGCTTTGTTCATAATAAAACCCTGCAATGCCAAAGTTTTAAAATGCCAAATTCTAAAAGACATTTCACTTAGGAAATATGAATAGCATGTTGATTGTTTGACCGGTTGGATTAGATACGATTACATTCAAGCATACCTTTCTATTACATATTAATTCCAAAAGAAAAATTAAGTTATAACTCATATGATCCAATTTTCTTCAGAATTGTTGTAGATGCTGATTGGAGGAAAAATCGCCAATAGCAGTCTGTGTTACAACAGCTGTAACGAAACCTCTGACTGAAGACTTTAGTTGCATAGTAATCTCATGAAGAGACTGCTCAGTGCCGTCCTTAACTTTGTTTTTACGAAGACTCCTTCTTTTGGCAACACTCTCCAGATCTTCAACAGTAGTCTCAAATAGAACCAGTTTTCGCTATCAGCCTGTTGAACCTGTTTTAGTCCCTGACTCAGATGCTTCTACCCCAACAGATGTTGGCAGAAGAGATGACGCTCTCCCTTCAAAGTTTACAGCATCTTGCTGCAAACTTTGAAGGATTTTAGCCTCGTCAAAAAGTACAGTCCCCTCTCGTAGATGGTTCTGTTGCTGCCTTTTGAGTCCAGTTTGTGTTCCAGGTGAACATCCAATTATTATTCTCCTTTCTCACCTATACTTCTCCTCCTATAGCAGAAATATGGTTTCTGTTTCTCTTGAAATCTACATTGATCACGCTTGTTTTCTTCACATTCAAGATAAGATGATTGTTCCTTCACTATGACAAACAAACCGCCAGATCTGCATATCTCGGCTTCTTGTCATTCTCAGTCATCTGTGTATTTCTGCAGATGACAGCATTCTGACTTGCACTGGAAGTCTAAGGTGTACAGAGTGAAAAGGAATGGTAGGAGTACAGCCCCTTGTGGTGATCCTCTGCTGCGGACCACCAGGAGTAAATCTACGAATCAGCTGCTAAGTTTAGCCGCATTAGCAGGTCACACTGTACAGCCTTGCAGAGGGTTTCTACAGAGTCTATAAAATAGTTTCTTTCAATTACAGGCCTCAAAATACCTTTGTGTGTCCAAACTCTCCTGTATATTTATTACATCTTAACATTATACATATGATCCTTCTTTATGTTTTATGACAAATGCCCCACTATATTTGTTTTGTGTTGTTCTAATGATTTCTGCTGTTATTGCTCCTCCCTAAAGAGCCCATGAAAGTTGGCTTATTGTAGTTTAAAATCAAAAGGTTTCTGTCCTTTTTCTTTAATTCCACCAGGCGCTTAACTGTAGGAAAGAATATTTGCTGACGTTTGTCTCCGTAAGCAGGGCTTTTGTTTGTTAGTTTTGTTTCACAATTGGTAACATGTTAATAATAATCATGACAATGCCTTACTCTCTGTAAAACTAGTTGAATTAAGATGATTTGAGTATGCCTGTCTCCCCCTCTATAATGACCTTTCAACATGCTGTGTGTCTTCTAAAATCAATTTGGAGAAATCCCGCAAGAAATGTAGTTTGTTTTTATATTGCACAATCTTGTGCTGCAAGATTTTGATGCACACCTGCTCATCAGTCAATAAACGCGGTGCTCTTTCATGATAGGACCAACACCAAAGATAAAAGGATACCACATCATGTCTCACTCATTTTCTTTAGACTTTCTTTCTGGTTTAAACTGAAACTTGGCATAGGAACAGCTGGGTAGAGCTGCAGCGTTCATCTTGTGCTTCTGATCTTTAGGGCTAACCTCTCCTTAGAGACATCCAGTTTGACTACATTCCTCTGAAGTATGTGTGTATGGAGCAAATGTCAGATGTCTTCTGGTCGTTTTTAAAGGCAGGTTGAGCTGAATGCCCTGCAGCAGAAAACCGAGATGTGTATAAAGTTTCAGAAAAGTTGAAATTACTGTCGTATTTATCTGCAGATCCCTTGTTCTTTGCTTGAGCTCTCGCTGTGTCTTCCCGTTCTGCAGTCTTCCGGACATTTTGGGCTGTAACTTTTAGACAGTGGGTGTGTTGTCACCAGCCTATGACAGCTCGTAGGAGTGAGGACTATAAAAATGTAGTGATCACTGCAAATCCCTGTCCCCTCCCTGCTCTCTGCTGTCTGTTTACACATCTCTGCTGCGCACAGACACAGTCCTTCCCTCAGCAGAATGGGGGAATTATAAAAAATAATAAAAAATGGTTTTGAATCTGCTGATTCGGCAGGGGCTCGGATTCAGAGGTGTGGACGTGGTTATCAGCTCTTCACAATTTAACCCAGATGAAATTGTCTGGAAGTCTTTATCTGATTTCCTTTTTTGTGCTGTAGTTGGCTGCGGTGTACCTACAGCGAGTCAACAAATGCTGCTTGTTTTTTTTTTTTTTTTCTTCAGCTTTAGGCTAATGCCAGCTCTATTTTCGGAAAAGCATACGCGTTTGACTGCAGTTTGTCTCACCTTCCCTGATGGAGCAACCTTTATTGATTAAAGTCAAGGAAACTGATGTCAATGAAACCTTCTTTTTAGGATTGGAACTTAATGCCAATTACTTTCATTAGAGTAGACATCAGTCTTAATTCTTATGCCATTGACAACCATTAGTGGGCCATTTAAAAGGCACTAGAAGAGAGCTCTATTGTGATTAGCCGCTTGATGACCTGGCCAATATGGTCATTTTCTGTCCTGTTTTATGGGAGCCTGAATTACTGATTCAGCAGCTGTTAGCTTAGCTTAAGTTTGGTTGGGTTGGTTTAAGAGCATTTTTTACAAAGAGAGTCCATAACTGGAAGAATGAGAAGTTCAGACTGTTTGATCGGACTAATCTTGTATCTTTGAATTTGAACAGAGAGACTAAAGATAAAGCTTAAGTTTAGATTTGCATAAAGCAGCAGCTCTGATTATAATTATTTTTTTTTGAAGAGGACTTAACCCTTACATTTCACTGTTTTTTGATCTAATAATCTGGCTTGGAAAATTATTTGGGAAAAGTAGATTGTCTTCTGTTGCACTGGCAAATCTTTTCATCCATCACCTAGACATGTTCTATATTTATATTGCAAATGTATGCTGTTGCTTGATGCACTTATAGGCCAAAGTAGTTATTTTCTTTTAGTGCACAGTTACAATAAAACAAGGTTTGTTTACCCTTAATTCTTAAAAAAACCAAAAGATCTCTTTTGAAATAACTGTTTGGTAATATCAGATCCACAGTGCGCTTTCATTTATTCTTTCTTTTTTTTTTTTTTTTACAGTAATGCTGGATCAATAGAGTGCTTTCAGCCTCCGATGTAGTCTGTCGTATGGTCCAAAGATCAAGTCTGGACTGTGACTGAGCATGTGACAGAGTTAAGTCTTAGAGGAAATTTCTCCATAGGAGTCAGAACAAATTTACTAAGAGAAAGAGAGCAAGAAAAAGGTTGAAATAGTCACATTTACATAAGCATTAGTTTAGATTATTACTGTTGCGTTACTGTCAACGGTCATTATAAAACTGCATTGAGAAGTTCTGTAACTTGTTAATTTTAGCTATTTTTGTAAGGCACTTGCAAATATATGTCATTTTCCCCTCTTGTGGCTTTCTGGTCCTTTCTTAGTTTGCTTCACAAGTAGAATCTGTTTACTCTCATGTCATGTCAGCACATCACATCATGTCAGTGGTTTCCCCAGCTGGCTCATTTGGCATGTACAGCATAAAGCAGAAGTATTGATTCCTGCTTAGCATTTAATTTTGTAAACAGGGGTTCTACGTAAGCCCTACATGTTTATAACACAAGCATAAAATAGAATGCAAAATTATTGTTTTGCATTGGAATTTTTTTTAATGTATTTTTCTTGCTGCAGGTACAGGTTAATTTGTTTATGTTTGTCTTTTTTGGCTCAATACTTCTGGCCAAAAGGATTTAAATCTGTTTTGAGCTGTTCAAGTTAGCTCAGTGAGTTGTTTGTGTACAGCAAACTTTGAAGACGGACACATTTGTTATTGGATTCTCGTTTGACCTTTGAGTAAGTCAATTTGTCAACATTTAAAAGTCTCTTAAAAAGATTTTTTAGCACCAAAGTGAAACAAGTTTCCCTAAAAGATTTACCGATACATTGTTTTATATTTCTTAAAAAAATATCAAGTTTTTAAGAATATACTGAAACTGTCCTCACAATATAATAATGCCACCAATTTGCTTCATTCATGAGTTCTAAGTATAATTTCTGAAGGAGTTTTCTCAATGATGGCACACTTATATTTGCATATTTCTTTCTCTGTAAATCAAGATCTATATTTGTGGAGCTTACAGTTCAAGGCTGGCAGCTAAACGAAATGAGTGGCCATTTTGGAGGCATCTGTACAAACTTACAGAATTGTTCCTTGAAACTGGTAGTAATTGAAGGTTTAAAGCAGACAATTGAGTAACTTGTGGCTGTAAAAATAATAATACAAAAAAATTTATTTGTCACTAATCCATTGTTGTTTACATGAAATCTATCAAGGTTCATGGGAAATCATTGACAAAACTGCCTGGCTGATACAGCAGAAGATGTAGAGCACATTTCCCTTGCTGGACTCGTGAGTCGAACTGTCAGGCAGCTGCAAGCTGCTGAGTTAGCTGCACATGTGCCGAGTTGCTGTGTATGGCCCCTCAAAAAACCCTGGTAGTGTGTGTGTGTGAGCAAAAATGTTTTGAAGACATTGTGGCATTAGGTTTTCACACATTCCAAATTCAACCAAAAACAATGCTGTTTGCACCAATGTCCTCTCCCGGGGACTTCAGATAACACTTTAGCTGTTCCCTGGATTTCATTACAATAGCTAATGAAACAGAAGAAGTCTTGCTTACAGAATAAATGTTACACCTAGTTCTCTCTTGTTGCCGTGTTGTTAAAGGATGTGCTCCTTGGATGCTTTTGCATGACACCGGTTCATTGCCATTGCGGAGAGCTCATTCCAAGTGTTGCTGTTGTTTCTCCCAGCAGGTAGACGAGAGCGATGCGTAAAAGTTTCCAGGCTTCATCATCTTGCAGCAATGGCCTGAGAGACTCTCTGGACTAAGACCACGGTAAGAAGAGCAACGGCAGCCAACTCTCTGCTGATGCAACTCTGCTGCGCAATATGATGAATGCAGTTTATTAGTACAAATGTCGACATGATTCAAACACTGAAATGACAAACTCCTGCTGTTTTATGATCTTGCATTGTTGGAGAAATAGATACATTTGGGTGAGCCTTTGGAGATGATCTTGTGGGGGGGGGTTTGTGCCGCAACATTTGTTTTACAGACCAAAGCAATGGAGATTTTGCAAATCCATCTGCTGAAAGATTGAGTTTGATCTAATATTTCCACAAGGTTTGATGAATGTGCTCCTCTGTATTTCATTTTCTGATTTGACAGTTTTTGTAAATCAGTTTTGCAAAAAAAAAAAAAAAATTGTTTCATTGTTTGCTTTCTTTAGTTTTTGCTCTTTACCTGGAAATTTCTGGATGTTTAAACAATCTCTGTTTAGTTTAGCTTTTTTCAGCCAACTTGCTGAAAAAAATTATCTCTAATTTATTCTTCAAATAAATCACAGGTAAAATATGTTTTTTATGACTTTCACATTTTATTTTGAGCCAGAGCTGGACGGTATACCTGAAAAACGTATACACAAGAATTTCATATGTGGAATAATTGATTAGTTTTTTGTTAAGTATCTGAAATGGAGCTAAAATGGTGACAAGACATTTTCTGTTGTATTCACAATTTCCTCTTGAGCTGTTCTGCTCATTTGTTTTTTCTTCATCCTATTGTTTTTTTATTTTTAACAAGTTACTAAGGATGGAGGCAAAACCTTTAACTGATGCTGTGCAGGTGGTTTCTAGGAAACCAAAGAAAGTGAGTTACTTGATGCCTTCCACTGCTATTTTCCCTCCACCAATTGTTTCTCTTCATATCTATTTTTTCCTTCCATGTTGGAAAGCAACTGATTCATTTGACGTATGGAGATCAGACTGGTACAGTCTATAGTTCAAAGTTTTATATTGCAATCTGCTCATCAGGCAAAAACCTTGAATCATTGTAAAACAAGCTTTTTAGTGTACACACTACAATAAGCAGCGGGGTCAGTAGTGGATTGATAATGGCTCCGATCAATTAGGTAATTGACCCTTGCAGATTAATTTGGGATAACCCAACACATCTAATTTCCCTACTGCTATCAGTAAATCTTCCCATAGCGATTAACCACTGATGGATTTGGACTACATTGTTGTTTGATGATGCATACTCATAACAGTAGTCATTTTTGGTCATTGCTTAAATGCTAAGTTGGCAAATTGCCATTGTGATTTACATATCCAACCATTGTACTCCCCAGTGTTTCTCTGACTACCAGATGCTGAACCGTCTGCTTCTCATCCTGCGACATCCTGGAGTTACTGCCGCCATTAAAGATTGATGAGTGTGATCAGCTTTCAGTAAATGTGGGGCCTGGCTTGTTGCTGGTCTCTGCCACTTTAGTGCCATTACCTTGCAGTGATTCCAGAGGAAAGAATATCTTGAGTGGGACTAAGTCGTATAAAATGTGAACAGTTTTTCTTTTTCTTTTTTTTGCTTGTTGATTTTACTCATCGGAAGAAGTTTGAGAATTTTCCATTGACTTTGTGTTCTGAAGGACAGTTGTTGGGGTAATTAATGGTGCAAAATAAATTTGAAATGGGCTTCAAGTAGATGTTAAAATTTACGTTCCTTGCTTGCTCTTTATTTGGTAGCCTGGATTAGTCTGGTAGAGTGATCTCTTATCTTGCATTATTCAGACTACAATCAAAGTCTTCTGTCTTTTCTGCTTTAAGCTAGCAAACATTATGATGAGAGAAGAAAACATAAAATTGCAGTATATTCTTAGTTATTGGGAAAGCGTTACAGATTGTAATCATCCAACTTTTTTTTTTTTCCGTGTATCCGTGTATCTATTAGGCATGGACAAAATGGCAGTGAAAATGAAAGTTCTTGCAACTACTTGTAAGCAGTGTTTGATACATGACAGTTGAAATATTACAACATTCCAAATATTGTACTCCGGTTGTTGTTGGTCTACGTAGTCTGGTGCACATGGATTTTGCACTGATGATTTTTTTTTGTTATTGGACAGTTTAAATTCAAGCTATAAAGTCATTCATATTATGGACTCAATTATTTTGTGACTTTGGTGACACAGGAATATGAAGTCGTGTCACTATAATGCGTATGAAGACCTTGAATAACATAAAGGTCTTCAATAAAAGGGGGACCATGTTTTTTTTCTCAGATTAATAACTGCCGAATAACACAAAGTAGTCCCAGTAGACCAAGTAAAGTCTGATATAATCCAGCACAGTGACAGAAAGTCCCTCCTGCTTTTGCAGACTATTTAATGGTACGTCATAATAGACTGTTTCAAATTAAGGTAAGTTAAGGTTCTTAACTCATAGAGAAATTTCATTTAATAAATTTACAAGTTCTGTTCTTAGGCCATAAGTCTCATGACAGTTTGTTTTTGCTGCTGAGGCAGTTGGTAAATAGTTGCACACCAGAACAGAAATGTAAACTTTAGGCTCATTTTATAAAGTCACCTGATTTATCAGTGTTTTCTGGAGGCTTTGTTGAAAATTGGAGCAATCAGCTTGAGCCCCTGGCATTGAGCCCCTGGCATCACCTTGACCAAGTCACAATACACAGTACACCTTTAGGCTTTTGACTTTCATTTTTCTGCTGTCTTGCCATTTTGCTCTGCCTTTCTCTTGACCCAAATCTGATAGCCCAACATCTGGTTCAAGGTAACGGCAGCTGTCAGCAAGGCCAGAGTTCACCACAACCTCCACCTGTATTGAATTCTGTTGAAAATGATCTTGTTCAAATCCATATTTGCCTTGAATAACATCTTGCATGAATCCAACAAGTTTGTGTGTATATTGGCTCTCCCAGCGCCTCTTTTCACCCTGGCAAAAATACTGGGGCGTAAAATGAGAAGACAAGTGTCCTCTGGGTCCTTCTTCTGTCATGATTTCCTCGTCAGTTTGTGGGAAATAAATTGCCTGTACTGCAGGCCTCTAGAAGCACTCTTTATCCGTGCACTCTTGCTCCCCATGTCCCTCCTGGGGCCGGTTGTGTTGAGACGCCATGTGAGGACAAATTACACACCAACAAGACATTGTTCAGCCCCACCGAGGTTCTGTGCTTTCTGGACGGGTCCTCGTTATAGCAGTGAATGAGACTACAAACACTGCCCCAATAGCTTCTTATTCAGTGTGATGAATAGTCTTGCCCAGCACCCAGTGAGCTCCAGAAACACTAGGTGTGTCTCTAAACAAAGCCATGTTAAGCCACAAAATTACAGGAACGGCACACTGGCAGATGCAGCCTCTGCTTGGCAATTTGAGACATTTCTTTCTTCCATTATGTTATGAGTTCAAATGGGCAAATCAGTAGTTTTATAGTTTTTATGGCAGTGTGGTTTTGACTATGCAGAACAAGCATCACGAGTCGTTGTGAGAACTATGCAAAGATGAGAGAATTCTCAAGAAAAACTGTCTTGGAACTGCTAAGTGTGTCCTCTGGTGTGGTGTTTTCTTGGCTGTAAGTGCAGGTGAATGTCTGAGTTGGATTTCTAGGGTGGAGAGCCATCTGATGGGGCAGGTTACAAGCAGGTTCTAGTTGAGTTTGATGGGAGGGAGCTCGGTTGCTTCCGACGCTTTGTGCAGCGTCAAACCATTTGTCGTCCCCAAACTTCTCCCTCTCCAGACTGGTTGTCTCCAGCTCAATCCTGGGGGTGGGAGGGTCTGCTCATCTGACACTCAAGTTATAAGCAATGACACACACACACGTATGGCTATCGTTCTAAAGAGCACTCTGAAAGTCAATTGATTTCTCTGGAGATTTTGTTGGGTTGTGAAGTAATATTTGCTATCTTTTGCCTTTAGCCCTCTGTCAGAAATGTTGTTCTGTCTGAAACACAGCTTTTAGCTTCTGAAAAATTACCAGTGTCATTTTCTTGAAGTGGCGTTGTGGCTCTTTAAAGTGTTTTTAATCCACCCCATCGTGCAGCCGTGGGAGTCGGTCACAGATATGATAAAGATGGAAAATAAAATTGCAACAACGTGAGAATTGTTCACACCGTCAGCCCATCAGCTTGCAGATATTCACCGTCTGTGTTTATGCGAGAGAAATGGGAAGGAGTCTAAAGTAGAGACAGTTATGAGGCTTGTCCGAGATCCAAGCTCGGTTTCAGTGTGGGGACTACACAGAAGGGCATTGCTCATATAAACCTCATGACCCTGGCATCATTTCCACTCAGTCCTTCAGCCTGTGCTTTCCCAGACAAAGCTGCTGCTTTGCCCGGAACACATAGAAGATAACCAGACGACGTGTCCACAGCATTTTATACCTAAAGGATAAAAATACACTTCAACTTAACACTTATAAATCATATAATACATGGTGAGCTCTCAGCTGCATAGCATTATTGTTTTATTTTAATTGCCTGTGAAGAGAATTGACGCATCGTCTTGTACTGCAACAGTCTTCCTGGAGTGCATTTAGTCTAAATAAAAGCTGATATCACTTGTTTCCTTTACAGTGTCCTTTGCCATTTCTTGTGACACTAAAAGAAAATATGTCATGGCCAGCGGCTCTTTCTTTTGGCTGTTTGGTTTTGCGGAACACTTATTTAGTTGTTCACAGATTTTATTTTATTTTTTCTTATAGTGCAAATTGCTTGCACTGATGACTGATGGAGCAAATGTCCCAACTTGGTGTAATAATGAATTAGAAGAGTTGATGGCTTGATGAGCTTCAAATTTAATAGTTGCTTCCTAGAATATGCCAATCATTCAAGAACATAATGAGGTTACTTACCCTACCCATCTATAACCTACTTATCACTGCCAGTGACACCCGAGACAGAAGTAACAATGAATTGCCTTTTTCCTGTGCTATCCTTTAATCAGTCGTAATCTTTTTATTTTGTATTATATAAAGGAGGGCTTAGTCTAAGGATCTGTCATCTGTAGAGTTGAAACCAGACAATTATGATTACAGAATAAAGACATCTAAACAATTATTTTTTTTGTCTCTGAACACCTCAAACATACTACTTCCTTATGTGACATCATCACAGGAAGAAAACTTTGGACCGCCACAAGTCTTGCAGAAAGATCCTCTTCACCTGCTATTCTGGTTTAAACAGTATGGGGATGTCTACTCATCATATCATTCAGGAAGGAGAAGAAGAGATAACTCAACCCAGCAACAAAAGCAAACTGTGCCTGCTGAAGCTGATGTGTCATTATTGACATTGAAATGAGTGCTGTACCGACGTGAGCTGAAAGGCCACTCAGAGAGGAAGAAACAGGATTAGTTTTCAAATGCACACAGTGAAAAAGAACCCTAGGTTTTTAGACATAGTTGTTTTTGTAGTCTGATAAAGATCATTATTGCATTAGAAGTAAAAATGGAAAGTTTGCCAGCTGGAGAACGCCCCACTGTGAAGTAGAAGCAATATGTTGTTTCTGTGTTTTGTTGCACAAGTGACTGGTGAAGGTCATTTTTTATGCATTTCTTCATAAGAATGAGGGACGCCCATGCTTTAAGATATTTTCGGCGGTCAGAAAATATCCTATCATTTACTGACTGGTAGTGTCCATGAATTTTTAAATTGTCCCCAAGAGACATAGAAGCTTTCAGCAATTTTCTTGCATGTGACTCTTGTTCATATTGGGTCTTGAGGCTTTGTAGAATTAGGGCCTGTTTCAAGCCAGGTGGCAACTTTAGGCTGAAAGCAGACATAGTTGCATTTCTTTTACCCTGTGAGAAGTTGTTTCATACTCTCCTGTGAATGTAAGCACATTTTTACAGCATATTTGTTTGCTAATGATTTCCCAGCAGTTACTAGCTTGCCAGCAGTCCAGACTCCTCCTTTTTTATTTTCTAGATGTGAACCCCCCCACTAGTCTGCCTGTGTTCAGACCCCAATCCCCTTTCCCAGCTACAAAAGCAGTCAGCAGCCGGCTTGCCAGGCTGTCTGGTCGTCTGTGTTAGTGTCATTGAGACGTGCTCGGTACTTCAAGTCTCACTTATTTGTCTCAATGTAGAGTGACCCATCATTGCTGCTATGTCAAGGAGATGGAGGCAACCAATCATATCTGGCTCAGCGAGGCACACACAGCCAATCAGAACCGGAATCCCCATGGTAACTTGTGCTTGAAAATCCAGCCCTGGCCAATAAAAATGGAGAATGGCACTTGGCTATTAGAGTTTAATGGCCGGCTACCATTAATAAAATGATATAACCTCTAATATTGAGTTTGAGCTTTTCAGCACACTTGCTCTGCACAAAGACGTTGGTGTTCAAAATAGCAGAACAGCCATGGACTCAGACGTTTGTGTCTTTTCACTCGCAGTACTGGTCAACAAGGGAACTCAAGACACTTGTCAAAAGGACATGTTTAAACCATAGCCAAAGGTTTGACTTCATTCATGTCAAGCCAGTTACTACTGCTAGCTTTCAGCGGGTCACTCCAGGGCAGGACGCAGGCAGACTAAGGTTTGCATGGCCACTACCTCATTCATTATTTTAACCAGCTTCTGCCAGGCTATGCTACCCTGCTCTCCTCTAAATACTGGTGTTCTCCACTCTGTTCCCTCCTTATGTAATGGCAGAGCAACAAGTGGTGTGTGTCATAGCTGTTTCCATGGCAAGGGTAGCTGAGACTCTATCACAACACAGCATGCGCCAGCTGTGGTACCTACTCTGGAAAAGACCTGCATGTTCTCTTTTAAGGGTTTCATTTAAGGTTAGTTCTTTTACAAGCTGAAAAAGAAGCTTGTAAAATATTCAGTGCCTTGCAGAAGTATTCATGTCCCCTGACCCTGCTGTTTAAACGTTATGTCTTGTTATTGCTAACTGCATCCTTCAGTGGGGTTTGTTTGGATTTTATGTGACAAAAACATTTAAAGTGTGGCAGACATTTCCATTCTGTCTCCCTTTATTCTGACACAGATAAATAATAATCCAGTGCAACTAAAAGCTTTAAAGTTCCTTTAAAGGCTAATTATCCTGTTGTAGAATTTTCTTTTATTTTAAGTGTAAATACAGATGTTCTTCTAAGGTATCAGTGGTTTATTGTAGTACATTTGTGAATTAATGGCATTATGGGGGAAAAAGCAAATAGCTTAGGAACAAAGTTTTGGAGAAGATCAATGAAGGGTTCGGTTACAAATATCCTAATCTTTGAGTGTCTCTTAGAGTACTGTTTAACTCATCATGTGAAAATGGAATAAAAAAAACAAAACAAAAAAAAAACATGCAAGTAGCCAAGAACTGCTCCATTGTATCTCTGGAGCAGCTAAAGAGAGCCACAGGACAGGAGGTGGAATCTTTTAAGTTGTTGACTTTTATTTGTGCGCACCAAAAGCCATTGTTGAAAGCATTAAAAGTAGGCCTGTCAGGTTAACAAGTTTTTCTGGACGGTAGATTAGCCCAGAAATGATTGCAATAAGCAAGTAATATAATGGTAGAGGCATAACAATGCAAGAACACGTTCTCGAAGATCAATAAACTTTAAATTTTAATGAGTATCCAACATTCAACACTGGAACTGGAAGACATTTAAATATTCAAAATAAACAAGCAAAAACGACAACAAAATATAAAAAGAAATAAATAAATTATGAAGTCTCTGTAAACAAAACTGTCCTTCAAATGAAGGGCTAGTCGAGACCAAAGTACCAGACTGAAGACTTTTGCTTTCCAGTTTTAGGTAGAAAGAGAAAAACGATAAAATTGAACAAATAGAAGATATTGAGCTTTCTTTAATTTATCATGCGATTAATTGATTTATTGATGATTGTGACACACCTAGTAATCCCTGCTGAACATTTATCAAACATGTGGAAGAGGGTGCTCCGGTTAGACGAGACCAAAGTAGAACTTTTTGGCCCGCATTCAAAATGCTGTGTGTGAGAAAACTAACGATGCACCTTACCCTGGAGACTCCCTCCATTCTGTTCATAACTATGCCTTACTTTGGTTTATTCTATCACATAAAATCTCAAGAAAGTACTTTGAGGTTTAACAACATCAATTGCCTTGAGGAACCTTATTTACATGCTTTTTGATATAATGCCATTTTTTAAGGCAATGAGTTTTTACTTTCTAATATACTGAAGGTATCCTTCTATATATTTGAACCTGAGTCCATTAGCTGCTGACAGATTTTCAGAGGATGGTGGTAATTAATAAGATATTACTCCACTTTGATTAATAATTGATGGTTTTTCATTTAGTGCCCTCAAATTCTGCTTGTGGTAACTTGTAGATTGAGAAGGAGCAGTTCTAGCTTTTGAGAACACTTTATGTTGGTTTCAAGAGCATAACCTATCCAACTTCAAAGCTTTTGTTTGCTGAATCTGTTCAGTCATTTGGAAAATTTTATTTTTCTCTGTGTAGGAAATCATATTCATTGTTATTCAAGGGACAAAAGTTGAGTCCAGGTCATTAAATGTTTTTTTTTTTTTTTTTCCGGTCACTCTGCTCTGTCAGGTCAATAATAATAAAAATAAAATATTTATTGACTATTATTCGATATGCAACTGTGGCCAGGAGTCTGCCTCTCTACTCTGTTGAGCATCAGCTGAGCACATCAGAAGGGCAGCAGCACCCACTGGGCGCTGACTTCATCTGTGATAGTCAAGGGGGGAAATCTGTTAGCTTGTCATAGAAAGCATGTGATCTTTCGATTAAACTCAAAAATTGTTACATTCAGAATTCGTTTTGATAGTAGAATCTTCACGAAAGCCATCGTTCTCGTGTGTCTTGTTTATGCCAGAAGTCATTGAATAATTGAATAAAATCACTTTGTTTAAATAGCACCAAGCACAAGTCCTCTAAAGTATCAAATGTGTCTAATTCATCCATTGATTATCATGTGAAAAAAATTAGGATACGCCTTGTAATTTAATAACATTTCTTTTTATAAATATTCACACAACCATGTTAAAATCTATAATCTCTGGAAAGAAATGTGATTTATTTGCAATATTTAAAAGGTTGCCCCACTCCTAACTTTCTTGAGTAAGATGTTTGAGATTTGCATGATGCCACTCCTCAGTGATGCCTGGTACATAGCAATGGACTCTATATAGGAGACCATTCAAAGCAATGGTCTCCTATATAGTGAAACTTGGATCCAATTATAATTTAGTAAAATAAAAATGTACGGCATCTGGGAAAGCATTATCCAAGGAAGAAAGGACAGCTGATTGTGACTAACTTTGGAGCAGTAAACTCATTGTACTTTTTTTTTATTCCAAGTTAAATTAAATAAAAGTAAATAGCCTTTTACCTCAAACATTTTCACTTTCAGCTACCTCTCTGCCACATTAACTCTTTGTGCTTCAACTGTTTGCTTCCCTCAAGAGACTCACAAATGTTTGAGCAAAAAACAAAACATTTTATTGTACAATATGAGAAGTGACCCCAAAAGACATTTCAAAGTAGGCAAGTGTTATTTCCACATAACCTCAAACAGTAGAAGTTCTCATTGTTGTGTTTTTGATTGACCTCAAGTCTTTTCAGGTGAATGGCAGCCGTACAGTGACGCAGGCACACATTACTGTAAACTCTCTGTCCTGAATGTGAGCTGGCTTCACTTGGTTTTGTGTAGCGAATGGGTTTTTCTCGACACACGGTTGAGCGCACAGTCTGTTGCTGCAGGCGAAGCGCGGTGCTCTCATTTCAGTCTCTCTGGGGAGAACTGTGCCATCGGAGAGAAATGATTGAATCTCTACCTCTGCTCCATTTTCACTCATTTCTTCTGGACTGGATCAACTTGTGCTTCCAGCACAGACTTTGTGTATGCGTGTGTGTGTTTGTATGTGTGTTGTATGCAGATGGCCATATGGGCCCTCACTCAGTCCCGCATTGTCATCCTGTTATACCTTTTGCTCACTCAGTTAGCTAGTGAAATTGTTGCCTCACATTTAAAACGGATGTCCTGTGTGTTTCATTTGCAGACGCTGATATGCATTGATGATGAGTGGAGTCGGTGAAAACTCATCTGACCCTGCGAGGGCAGAAGCACGAAAACGTAAAGAATGCTCTGCCGAACTCATAGGACCCAGGTAAGCTTCAAGAATGACTAAATCCTACTTGCCAACTTATTTCATCTCGCCCCGCTACCCAGAGATTTTAGTTTTTCTTGTAAGTAATTTGAATTACCAGGCTACTGCAGATTAAACTACTTTCCTGCTGCTGACGATTTCAAAACTTAAAAAGGAAACTCAGGAAGCATTGCAGGTCAGTTTATCCAGCTGCGATTTTGGACTCTTGCAGTTCTGTTCAGGAAATTTCTTACTCAATTTTACAGAAAATTATGAGACATAATCACTTTACTTATTTTAAAAGCAGCCTTTTAGGACTCTGTATATTCGATTTTGAAATTGGTTATAATCTTGTATTTCATAAATGTCAACTACTATAAATGTGCATGCACAAAAATCAAACAATTTTGAACAATCAAATTCTGTGTTTCTTTAATTAACTCTGTTGAATTAATTTAAAGTACAAAGCAGTTTGTTTGCAGGTATAAAGGAAAGTAGGTTGGGATGACAGAGCAATGTTTGGATCTAAAATAAGGGCACAAATTGACCCAGAACCATCAAGGAGCCTGTATATAATGAATTATCTTTTCCAGGAGATACCAGGAGTTTTTACAGGAGCTCTGATGTCCTGTGTAAACATATCTACTTTCTTTCACACAATGGCCTACAACTTTTTTTTGTTGAGCTTGTTTAGGAAGGTCATCTGTGGTGCCACATGTAAGAACTTGTTGATAATGAATGTTAAACTGTTGGAAAGCGCTTTTATTTCCCACTTAAATGGTGCCAGAGTAACAGAGTGTAAGAAAAATACATTTATGGGTTGAGCAACAGGGTTGAGGATGTGGGTTGTACCCATGAAAAACTTGGCAATTTCTCCCTGCTAATGTGAAACATCTTTAGGTGGAGGCAGTGTGATGGCGAGGGGCGGTGCGTTCCTCGCTGGAAAAATGAGGCTTGTTGTCCTAGGTCGAAATCTCAGTGTGGAGGTATACAGAGATGAGGTTCTGCAATCAGTGGCCTTCACATAAATCCACTCTCATGGACTGAGCTCTATCCTCCAAGATGTCAACCTTTGCTCACACAGCAATTTAGAGGGGAGAAGATGTAATGGCCTGGTTGCAGTTCTGACCCTTAACCACAGTGACCATCTGGGGCATCAATTTGGGTGTGCTTATAATACCAAAGCGACTAACACAACCACATTGACAGTCTTGAGGTTGAAGCTAGGCTAGTATTGTGCAGGGCTGAAACGATTCATCAAAGCTATTGAGTAATTCGAGTACCTTGATTATTAGAAGTCCTCGACACATCATTCAATTACATTTACATTTTAGCGCACTGTAATCATATTATTTTTTATTTTTTTGTTTTTGCTTTTGAACTTCATGTGTGTGGTGTGCAGCGCTTTAATGAGCTGATGAAGAATGCTAAATGCAGTTAGCAGAGGCACAGAAAGCTTTCCAATAGTGCATCCTCAATGCGGCAACACCTCAGCAGGAAACATTAAAGTGTAGGTTGGACCTAAACAAATCAAATCCAATTTGATCAAGCCTGTAAGTGTTGTGTCCAAGCCTAATTCAACCTGACTAACTTTAGAGGCCTGAGACCAAAGTAAACTTGACATACTACTTTAAACTGCTGCTATCAGTTTAACATACTGACAGATCTTTGACTTTGTGTTATGTTGGCTTATTACTGTAACTTTCCCTTAGCTTGTATTGATATCTTCAAGCTCCATTTTCTCACTTCTTGTACTTACTAATAAAGAAAAGTAATGATGTGAAAAAACAATAAAAAATAGATTAGAAATATGTGTAAAAATAGATTTTTCATACTTCAAACTTGAGACTGAAAGTGAAGTGTTGCACAAAAAGGAAATGTTTAATGTCTCAATTTAAGTTTGCTTTTTAATTTTTAAAGTTAATGTAAAATAGTTTTACTCTTTAAACATATTTTTTTCATACTTCAAACTTGAGACTAAGAGTTTGATTGAATAATTGTATAGTTTAAGTGTATCTTAAATGTGTTTTCTTAAATAGGAAATGAATTGTTTACTAGCATTTTCTCTGTCATATATTTCTTTAAGTAGCTACTAGATGCTCAGAACAATCTGTAAAATACTTGATTACTGAAATGATCATTTTAGTGTATGACCCAGCTAGTGACCAGCCTTAAATTTATTCCTAACTAAAATGGCGAGAAGTACATATTAAGTGTGCATCATCATAAAAACATTACTAAGCATTTTGAAGGTTTGCTGTGAAATCCTCAGATATTTAGCTTGGTGCTTCTAACTACAAAAATGAACAATACAGAAAGATTAAAGGAGCTGTCTGAGCTCCAATATGCAGACAGCATGGTGGGAGATTTGAAGAGTTTAAAATCAGAATCATTGCTGTATTTAAAAAAAAAAAAAAGGTACAAGTGGAGCATAATTAAAACAAATGCAGACATGCCCACATCTGGTCATGTCAACCCACTCTTCCTTAACACAAACTGCCACATGCTAAAAGAAACCTTAAGAAACCCTAACGTGTCATCATTAGACTTACAGAAACTCTTGCCATTGCTGATATAAAAGTGCATTCCTGTACAACCAGAAAGTGAGTGCAGCAGAGGCAATGTTTGCTCATCAAGAAAAATGAACTTAAAGCTGAGTTGAAGTCACGCTATTAAGGCTCCCGTTGAGTTCATGGGAGCCGGGCAAGTGGTGTGGCCTATATACTTGATGCATACTTTGGTGCAGTATTTTCCTATCATGAGTTGTAATGGAGAGTTCCTATACATGTCAGTGCAGGTGAACCTGCTCTGCAAGAGAACATTCCAGATTGTCCAGTTTGAGTGAAAGGACCTGGAGTCGCACCAACACAAATGGGCGGGGGTGGTACATTTATCACATATTGCCTCTGTCCTAGTTCAATGCAGTGACTACAAACGTAGCTTGAATATTGCTAAAGCTAAACAAGTGAAAGAACGCGGGCTTTTGGAACAATGTTCTTTGGACACACGAGTCCAACACTGAATTATTTAGACACCAGCATCTTAAGAATAATCCAAATACATTAGCGGAGAAGAGCTTCATATAAACTGTAAAGTATGGAGGCGGAAGAATTGTCTTGTGGAGATGCTTTGCTATAGCTGATCCGCCCCAGTTCAAAATTAACAGATGGAAGGCTCTGGAATGGAGTAAAGTCTATTTATTCTTTTGAGATACTGTGGCTTGAAACCCTTTTAACATGTTACAGCTTCAAGTGCAGAGTGGGAGAAACTGGCAGACGTCTTGAAGGAGCAACTTGCTAAAAGTTATTCCAACCGAGTAGGGTACTGCCGGTATTTAGGAAGGAGGGTGTAATTTCTTTGCTGTAGAAAATGCTTGTATTTTTTTGTTTAATGTTATAATTTTAAAAAAGATAAATTAGCCATCTAAGTGATCTTTTCTTAATTAAAAAAAAAAATTGATTGGCTTTTCTAATTTTTCCACCATTGGTCTCCCATTGCTTTTTTACAACTGTTTTCCCCTCTTGTTGTTTTATGTCTCTACAGTCCCAAGCGGAGCAACGAGAAACGCAACCGCGAGCACGAGAACAAGTATATTGAAGAGCTGGCAGAGCTGATCTTCGCCAACTTCAACGACATCGACAACTTCAACGTCAAACCTGACAAATGTGCAATCCTGAAGGAAACTGTGAAGCAGATCAGGCAAATAAAGGAGCAAGGTACAAGTGACAGTCTGGTTTATGCATTCTGAATGAACTGCAAAAAAAAATTTATTGGCCCCAAATAATAAAAGTGAAAGCTTGATCAGGTTTATATTGAATATTTTGAATTTACAGCTCGTAGTGGAAAAAAAAACATGTTGCTAGATGATTAAGTGACCATTTTAAGGTTTTTTTCAAAATGCTTTTTTCAAAATGTTCTTTTTAATCAAGCAAAGATCAGTGGGGATATTCTGTTTTTTCTTCAAGGTTGCTTCAAGGCTAAAATTTCCTCCTGTTGTAAATTTAGAGACAGATATTAGCTTGGTCCTTGCTTTTGAGAAAGCATATCTTATTCAAAAAAAAAAAAAAAACTTGGCCTTTTTAAGATGCACAAATAAAACCAGTTAATAATGTTTTATTTGACTCTACGTCTGCTATGTAAAAGTGACTAAAGTGACACAGAAATCCCATTCCATATCAAGCCTTCTGCATTCACTTAGAGCATAGCAAACGAAGGGCTGGTTCATCCTCTCCCTCTCTGTCCACTATACCCTGGTGGTCAGGCTGGGGAATCTTTTTATAGCTGCTTATAGATGCTGAACGTTGTGCTTTGAGGGAATGCCTTAGGTTCTTTTAACTGCACTTCATTTCTCACTCTATGGAAGGGTTGTGTCAGATGTCAGTGCTACTGTGAAAAGGTGCAGTTTAAATCAAGTCTTTTTTTTTCCCCTTTGGTAAAGGTCTACAAAAACTTTATTTTTTCCTGTGGATATTGATGTGGTACAGTACAGGCCATTTTCTTCTAGTCACACTTGAACATGGGAAAGGCAAGAAAAGATAACTTTTATGGAAGGCAGATGTGTTATATACTTGTAGGTGAGAAAATGGGTGCAATAAAAGAGCTACCTGCCTGAATCTACATATATCTATAGTCAGACTTGGCGAGCTTAAACGACATATTGGCAGATTTAGGCAAAATCTGTTAGTGTGATTCACTTGTTTATTCACTTGTTCAGACACCAGCTTTTTTAATGGTATTCTATTTTTAGATGCACCTGTAAGTAAACTAAAATGTTTGCCATACAGGAATAAAAAGTCTCAAATTTAGAGACACTTGCAGAAACTCTAAAATAAGCCAGATAAGTGTATCTTACCACCCACCACATCATAAGGAGGACAGAAAAGGAAGTAAAAGAAATTTCCAAGCTTATAATTAGAGAAGTATTTCAAGATTGGGCTGGTCAGGGGTCACTTAATCTAAACATCGGCTTATTCAAAGGCGCTGTAGGAAAAACATCTCCTCTTCCACAGTCACAGGTCTGAATGTTCCTTTTTCCAGATTCTACACTTACTTTAGCTAGAACAGTGTGTTTTGAGGCGTGGCAAGAACTGAGCTTTCAGGCAACAAACACTAATGTGGGTCTAATGGGAAATAAAGGGTGAATATGTGGAAAAGCATTTAATGCACACTGTTTAGTACAGTGGGGGATCTGTGATGCTGTGGGCCTCTTTCTCTTCCTGAGATGTCCAAATAGAGATTTGTTGTAGACGCAGATTTAAGGGGTAAAAAATAAATAAAAAATCAGTGTTTTTAAACATATGACCTCATGATCTTTCAAAGTTTATATATTTTACAACTGTCTTTTAAACAATTTTTTATTGCTTATTGATACTATTGGCTTTTTAAACATTTATAACACCTATTTGAGTTTAGTTAAAGAGAAGATGGTATTAGAAGATCTAGTATGAAATTGTGATGCTCCAAAATCGTGCTCTAGTCTTGTTCTCAAAAACTAGGAAATGGTAGAAGAAGAGTGCGAGCTAAATGCTTTTTTGTTGGTAGGGGTGAAAGTAAATGTGACACTAACAATGTTGTAAAAAGTGAACATAGTGAGCCTATTTTTAACTACTAAATAACTACTCAAATTCAAGGTCTGAAGTTATCCAGGTATCCAGTGTGATGTTATGCTAATGAAATAGCTGATCGATTAATTCAGTGTGTGTGTGTAGGTAGGTAGGTAGGAAGATATGCATGCTGGTATATATTTAAGGGAGCTTCTTGCATGTTTTTGTGCTTTTCCGCTGTCGATTCAGCTATAAGTTTCTGAAGTTTGAGGATATAAGCCCTGTAAGGTCAACCAAAGAGGAAGTTGGGGTTGCATCCAGCCACAATGTTATGAGCTCAAAATAATAGAAGTAATTAGTAGATGAATGTTTCCCTCTTCAGTGTAATGATTAACACAGAAAGGATTTTTCTCATCTCATTTCATGTAAGAAAAAATATTCTTAGGTAAAATTTTAAAGCATCTTCTCAGACTCAGACAGGTCTACCTCCTGAGTGGAAAGCTACCAAAAATATTCTAAATGAAGGAAATGTCATTGTAATTGAATGAGTGGGGTTTTATAGTTGTGGCATTTATGACCTCAAATAATTCTCCTCATAACTTGGGCTGTAAATTAGTCAAGATATATTACGTTTTCTTACTTTTTCTTTGCCTTGTTAGTCCATAACCAGATGAATACAGCAGTGTGGAACAGGATATTCTCCTTATATCATTTGGTTTTGTTTGTGACACTTTACCTTACTAATTCTTAAAAATGTTTATGAAAGATAATCAAATTTGATACAAAATTCAAATGACAGTGGTATAAAAGAAAAAAAGGCATTCTACACAACTTATCCATAGTTGAAAAACTAATTATAGATCTAATATTAATGATAGGACTTTGCAATATCTGCCTACAGGCAACTTTGCACAATAAAGAAAGCAAAAAAATGCACCACTGTTCTGTAACTTAATGAGCTTGTAAAACATATATGGTGCCCTGTCTTGCCAGTTTATGATGTAGTTGTTAATACGTTACACAATCCTTTTAATTGATCAATCGCTCCTGCTATCTGTGGCACCGTGCCACACTTCTGCAAAGAGACAGAAAGCCAGGGAAGGCAGCCATGACAGTGAGTGATGGGTCTGCACTCAGAGCAGCTGTGTTGGTCTGCAGGACCCCACTGGGCCTGGATAGGTCCTGCTGATGCACGGATCATTAATGCTGGAAAAGATTAATACTCGTCTGTGGGCTGTTGCACAAACCCGCAGCGCAGAGGGAAACCTGCATTCGTGTCAACTTTCACACATCCATATCCATAAAAAGGAAGAGCGTGATTCTGTTTGCTTCTCACCACAATCTTTTGTCACCATATGGTCAGCTCTCTCCTTGGCATGGTGCGCCCGTTAAATGTGCCCCCCCTCACCCCCCAAACAGCCCACTCATATTCCGCCTCTCATCGTCTGCTTGGAAAGTAGGGCAGCCTACGCTATGAACATAAGGCCTCCCTGCATGTTTATTAACCCAGTCACATGGACAAAGTCATAACTCCTTATTTTAGTTACTGAAGCTGAGAGGAATCTCTAATTGTTCAAATCTAAATTAAATGTTTGGTGGTGGTTTTTAAGGGTTTGAATTTTTCATGTTTCTTTATTAATTAATTTTTATTTATTTATTTTTTTTATCTGTTGTTGCATTAATTAGCATAGGTATGTTTTTAGCAGGGATACACAATGTATCAGCATCAACATCAATATTGGCCAATATTAGTCTTTTTGTCCTGACCACAACTTTAGTAGGAAGCGTTAAATTAGAGATCACCTAATATTCCCAGATCTGGCAGGTAGTGGTTGGAAACCAACTCTGTTCTGCCTTCCTGTTATGTATTTACTAATATTATTGCCCTCTCTCACTTTATCACAGCCTTCATAAAGGACATGTCTACAGATATTATAGAAAAGTTTCTGTTTAAAATTGATTTATGCATCCTTGTGTTTCATCTGACTTAATTTTAGACGGCCAATGATGTTGAAAGCGTTGATCGGTCGACCACGCTAAAATTCAACCAGTTTTGGTCACCGGCCCATTTCTTTATGCATCTATAAATTCTATCGAATTAGTTTTATCCTAGTTACTGGTGAATTACATTTTAGTAACATGTTTCACACATTGTGCAAATACAGTATAATCTTGGAGTCTGTTCTGTTGCAAGGAAATCTATCTTTTTCTCATTTGGTGAATTTTCTAAATTTGTTAATGTATTTTGAAAAGCTAACTTTTGAACTTTAGATAGTTGAATCTAAGTTCATATTATTATTGATGATAACATGATTTAGTTTGTTTGTGGTATTGGATAAGTAAAATGTTCTACCCTTCCTGGGAACAATTTGTTCTCCTATTTTGTACATGAGTTGTTTACACATTCTCCGTGTTCCATGATAGCCTTTTTTTTTTTTTTGCACATGACAGTGTAATCCATCCACTGTCTGTCACCAGTGTGGCAGTCGTGCGCTCTGACACGCTCGTTTACAGCAACCTTTCACTTTGTTTGCCGAGCTGTGCTTGGGCTGGAGCCACGGCCGCATTGTTTTCACAAAGGGACCGAATGTGTTTGCTTTGTTACCAGATGGATACTTGTTAAAATCCCTGTCAGCCAGTGACCTCTTTTAAGTATGTGGGTCGACAGCAGGGGGAAATGCAGAATTGTTTGCCTGTGCTTCTTCTCTGTGACCTCTAACTTTTGTCTTTGTGTTGTTGTTGTTTTTCTCTCTCTTCATTATGAACTTGTTTCAATGGATCCCTGTATGTGGCTTTTGAGTTTGTCTTATTGATTTATCTAATCACAGAAAAGGCTGCAGCAGCAAACGAGGAGGAGGTGCAGAAGGCTGATGTCTCATCAACAGGCCAAAGTGTGATTGACAAAGATGCCTTGGGACCAATGATGCTGGAGGTGGGTGGATTGCATTTGTATTTTTCATTCATGATGTAATTTGCAGTGCCTTGCCATTTAACATTTAACATTTTCTTTTAACGTCCTCGTTTTTTTATTGAAATTATTTTAATATATCCAGTCTATATAAATTTTTGGTGCATATCTCTCAGACATTAAGAGATTAAAATGTGGACTTTATTCTTTGCACAGTAACTTGGATTGTACTTTTCTAGTCTTACAATAGATTATTAACTAGATCATTTAAGCACAGTAATAATCTCTCAAGTAAACCAGTGTTTCTCAAGCCTACTCCTCAGAGTCCACTGTTCTTTATGTTTTAGGTATGTCTAAACTGACTGTATTGCCTCCACAGTAAGCTTTCATATGCTCTAGAAGCCTGTTAATCACACATTTGTTTAAGTCCGGCTTGAGGCAGCAGGAAAACCCCTTACAAGATTGGGGGATTCTGAGGATCAGTAATTTTAGTCATTCCCTTGTAATTCATGTTGCATGTTTAGCATTACTGTCCCACAAGAAGGAGTCTTGAGTCTTAAGTCTTTTGCAGCCCCTAAAAGCCCTTCCTAAAGGTTTGTCTTGAGTTTAGCTGTATCCGTAGGTTAAAAAGTTCAGTCTTGATTTCCTGCTACGTCTTGTTCCACACGTCTGTTGTGCCTCGAACCACAAAAAGTGATGTTCTTCTCGCCATCCTTCCATTATTGTCAGATTTATGGAGAGATTGACAAATAGTTGTCCTATGAACAGATTCTCCCACCTGCAACTTCTCCAGAGTTACCATAGTCTTCTTGACTGCCCCCAAAAAATAAAGTTCTCCTTGCCCAACTTGTCAGTTTGTGAATGGCTTTCTCTTGTTTTACTCTTTCAATGTAAAGATGATGTTTCCGACCGAATCCTGCTTAATACTTCTCCAGAACTTTAACCCTGATGCGTCTGATCATGTCTCCACAGAACATCTGTATTCATACTGAGATCAAATTATACTCGGGTCCAAGATTTCATCAGATACTCCACTTAATAGTGTCACACTAAGTGAAATACTCTACCGCAGGTCAACTCACCTCTTGAAATTATGATTGATGCCTAACGAAGAGTACCATTCACGGAGAACAATCACAGCTGTGCCAGTAGTGATTATGTCAGAGTGTAGCTGTGTGAGGCTAAAGCTGCCAGCATCTTGTATCTGCCCCTGATTGGCTGTAAATCACCAAGCTGAGCAATGGCTTGGTTGTACAACAGAGAGCCTCTGAAGTGCTTACGTATAATGGGAAAGAAAACAAGAGCTCATCGAATGAATCAGTCCATTGAGTCCGTCCTCTCACCCATTTCCGCCCTCCCCGGCTTGCTCAGGTCTCCCTCACTCCCCCTCCCCAGCTACCACCCCTCATCTTCCCTTCTTTCGCCTCTAGATCCGTCCTGTCATGGAATATTTATAGCACTCCTGGTCCAGCGTCACTGAATCGACACAGTAACTCGCGGCTAAATATAGCCCAACGCAGCCTGCAAGCTTTCCCATCTGTCAGCAGTCCCCAAAACACGGCGATAGGCCATTCACACCAGCTCCGCTCCGAGCCGCGATCCTTTCCGCGATCCTGGACTCATTACAGGCCGTTCAGAGGAGAAAGGCCAGCAGCAGAAATACACATCCCCATTTCCCTTCACCCCCACCCCTCTGAGACTCTTTGCTCTCCAAACACAGAGAGATGAAGAGGAGTGTGGGGAAACATTGTGCCGCTCTTTTAACCTTCCGTGGACAGATTCATTACGTCACATCACTGTTACGTATACAGTGCCTTAAAAAGTATTCATATCTTCTTTTCCCAATTTTTTGTTGCAACCATAAACTTCAGTGTATTTTGCTGGGATTGTATGGAGTAATGAAGTGGATTTTAAAATCTGTAGTTTGTTCTATATGTGGAAAAAGACACTTTAAACAGATGAGAGCAGCATTTTCTTCTTTTTTTTTCAAACCTGATGCTTATATTTCTGGATAAACCAACCCAATGCAGAGAAGCCTGGTGGGTGAGGCATAATGTTGTAGGAATCTTTGCTTTCTTAGAATGTACTAGTAATTGTTTATTTTTATTTTTTCATGGTTTTGTAAATCAGTGGAAGGAAATGTATACCAAAAGACTTTCCACTTCGTTTGTAGGGAAAGGTGGTTCTGCAACGTATTAACCCCAGGGATCCTGAATACAAATGCGCACCAAATTATTTTATTTTTTCATATTATTTTTAAAAATATTCACTTTCATTTTATAATTACATAGTTTCCACACACTTTTAATGTCTTAATGCATCTAAAATTAAATTCTTAAATTCTGAAGTCTTAAATTCTTAAATTCATTTAAAAACTGGACATTGGCCTTAAATACTTTCATCACAGGTCTTAAATTTTGTTGTGGCTGAAGTTTTTAATCTTGTATATCCTAGATTGTTTTATAATCTAGGACTAAATAAGACCTTAAATAAGTCTTAAAATCTTAAGATCTTCTTTGCTGTTGATCTTTCACATAAAATCCCAATAAAACATTAAATATTTGGTTGACACAATCTCCAAAATCTCAACTTGTATGAATACTTTTACATGGCTTTTGCACCATCTTCAGATTGCTCATTACCAAACTCTATTATTGTCATGTTGCAGCAATATATAGGCTGTAGTTATTGTTCACAAGTAAATAGAGCTGGGAGCAGGGATTGTACAATTATTCCCAATGTTGCCGTTTGGAACACATTGACTTGCATTGGCTCAGCCGTCTCTCCAGTGTATATTTAAGGAGGGCACTGTAAATTAAAAGTATTGGCTAACAGCATTGAGCAACGGTGTCTGGAGGAGCATTAGAGTTGGCACTTCGCAATGTTTATTCTGTCCAGTCCATGTTCTTTCCTCACACAGGATGGACTTGCACAACCACGTTGCAGTTTGGAACAGGCCCAGTTAATGCACTGATGGATGAGGTAGCTTTGAGTTTGTTTTTAGATTTGGAAGTGTCAGAGCAGGCGAGGGAGAACCTCCATCATGCTGTAATCTTGGATCAAATGGAAGGGTTCAGCGAACCTTAACATTTTGTCTGTGGGGGTGTTAGACTGTGTGGTTTTGTAGCTATTTCAGGAATGACTGAAAATAAATGTATTGTATGTCGCGCTAAAAGTTTCACAATTGTGTAGTTTAACTGTAGCGATTGATTAAGCAGAGCTGAAGAGCAGATGTCTTTGGTTCTATCGTGACACCAGCTTTACAATTGCCAATGTTCTGTTCCTGAAGGCTGTAGGTGATTTGATGGCCTAATTGACACCAGCTTGTGTGTAATGGCTGACCTGGGGCTGTGTTCTTTCAATTAAGTGCTGCTCCTCCTTCTTATGCTTTAATCAGCCACATGGGTTTATTCTGCTTTTATCAGCTTCACTGATGTTCAGCTTTTTTTAAGCTGGTACTAATTGTACCAGTGGTTTTTCTGTAAGCATAATGTAATAACATACAAATACCAGAGAAGGCGTTTAACATAAATGAGGGTTCAGTGTGTACTCCACTTTTAGGTCGTGGGTCGTTATGGGTACGGTCCAATTGGAAAATGGCAGATAATTCAAATGTTGCTTTCTGGTTTCTCTGAAAAAAATAAAGAAATCTCCCATATTAGACAGGAACCTCTTTAGTTATTTTTGCAAAACAGTTAAAAAACTTTCAACCACATTTTGCTCCTCTAAAGGCTAAATGACAAACAATAACTTGTCGTGTATTTAGGATCATTTAGATAAAAGTTTCAATTGGTTCTTCATGCAAGTTAAACGTCATAAATTATAAAACAATGCAAAATTACAAACTAAAATTAAATTTGCTTAAACTAAAATAGTAAGTTACTTATCTTGTTTAAACATTTTGGTGGGAGGTGGAATGATGCTTCCTACAGTCACTTAATTATATGAGGTTTTGTCTTGCCATACGCCACTCTGCTGCCATTTCACCACAAACTCAAGTCTTGGCAGGGCTAATTTCTAATCAAGCAGTTTGTGTCATTATTAGCTGCTTTTCTTGCATTAGTTTGGTGTGGAGAGCTTTTATATAGAAGCTTGATCTATAATATTTTGTGTTGACAGTTTTAAATATGAATTAGAAATATTATATTTGGAGTTTCTCGAGGCTGCTTTCTCGACTCACTTAATGTGTCTTAATGAATAAAAAAAAAACAATCAAGCACACACCAAACTTAACATAAATGGCTGCATGTTTGTAAAGTAATAGATTCTATTGTCATATTGGTCTATAAGGCATAGAATAATCTTAGGCTTATGTTTTACAGTGTTAATTATCTATCTCTGATATCCCCTTAGGAGCTACAACTAGAACTAAATTAGAGGAAGCATCATTTAGACTCTACGCTCCTCCACGCCAACATGAAGTGTCCAGAATTTGGTGGCTTCTTTAAATTGGGACTAATAATCATTTGTTTTTACTGCAACTTTTAGTAGCTGCTGTTTTTGAGTGCTTTCATGCTAAATAATAGAGATTAAAACCCAGTAGGTCTGAAGAAAAACACAATTACTTGCATCAATAAATTAAAGTTGCAGTTTTCCCTTGTCTGAGGAAAGGAGAGCATATTAATTGTTGATATTCCCCCTTTAGGCCATTTGCAGCAGGGTTATTAACATAGACTGATTAATGAGGGTGATTACTGCGCAAATAAAATCCTAATTATTCATGAATTGTGTTTTTGTGAGGAGGAACTTTGTAAACAAACTCTAAACCGTCTCTTTGCCCCTCCAGGCCCTCGACGGTTTCTTCTTCGTGGTGAACATGGAGGGCAACATCGTGTTCGTGTCTGAGAACGTGACCCAGTACCTGCGCTACAACCAGGAGGAGCTGATGAACACCAGCGTGTACAGCGTGCTGCACGTCGGAGATCACGCCGAGTTCATCAAGAACCTGCTGCCTAAATCCCTCGGTTAGCCCTCGGCTTATTCTCCCTGCCAACAAATTCTGCCTCTGCTCCGTCCACCTTGTATCACCTGGTGCTTTTTATTAGCCATGTCGTTGTGATTTAAATGTTTATGGTAGTTTTTCAGTGCCGGAAAGCTGGCTTGTAAAAAAAAGAAACACACAAAAAAAAATGCAGTGTGCAAAGATCCTAAAAGTTCTTCTTTTTCTGTTTTGCTGATGCTCAGCCCAGACTTTTTCCTCTCACTCTTCTCCTCATCCTCCCTCGCTTTTCAGCTAATTAACTTCCTTTTTTGGCTTCTCTCTCCTGTCAGCAGCATAATGCTCTTCCTACATTCTCATTTTGTGCCCTTCCTTCCCCTTCTCTTCACTTTTTTTTATGTTTTTCTCTCATTCTCTGCCACACACCCCTATCAAGATCCTCTTTTCTTGTTCTCAATTTCTTATACTTTCTAGCCCACCCATTAAAGTCATGCTTTGTGCTTATTTAATGTAAACAATACAACTGTCTGTGCAATCCTCAGCTCAGGAATCCACTCCCCCCTCGTCCCCATATCATCTTGTTCCCTCAAATTACAAGATGATATAGCAGTGAGCTTTGTGTCGCTGCATCCCGTCAGGAGCTCCGAGTTCTCCTCTGCTGGTGCTCCGGATTGAGGGCTGAGTACCCAGCCATCTGGGTGGGAGAGCTGCGCAGAGCAGAGTACCCTGGAAATGATCACTGGGCTGTGTCCCAGTTACTGGGAGATTATCAATGCACTGAATGAGATCACAAACCAGATGGAGTGTGATGGGAGTTTGCTATAAAGAAATGAGTTGGCCATACATGTCTTTTTTATCTTGCTTGTCGTGCGTGTGTGTCTCTGAGTGAGTTATTTTGTGTCTGTGTAAGTGTTGGACAGGAGAAGAAAGATGGGCAGTGATGTTTTGGGAGGACGTGCATATGGAGGCCTGGCTGTGATGCACTGCTGTGGATGGATGGCTCAGGGTTCCAACTGCTCATTAAAACCGATCTCTACCCAGCAACAGCTCTCCTCTTTTTCGCACTTCCTCTGCCTTCATTCTCTCTACGTTGCTCTCATTATGTCTTCCACTTGCAGCGCGCTCGCCTCCTCTTGGCTCGCTCTTTGCATACTTCATGTTTCACTGTTCACTTTCAGTCACAGGGAAAAGTGTCCTCCTACCCCACCCACCCCCACCCTCTTGCAGACTATAAAAGTCTCCTTTGCCTCACCTCTCTCTCTCTCACTCTCTCTCTCTGTCTCTCTGTCCGGCAGTCAATGGCGTCCCATGGTCCAGCGAGGGTCCAAGGAGGAACAGCCACACGTTTAACTGCCGAATGCTGGTGAACCCGCACAGCGAGAACCAGGACGAGTCGCACGAGCCCCAGCAGCAGAAATATGAGACCATGCAGTGTTTTGCAGTGTCAGAACCCAAGTCCATCAAGGAGGAAGGAGACGGTATGGAAGTGGGGAAGAGATGGATTGGAGGATCAGTTGACACTAAAGTAGTGACCTTATAAAACAACCTTGGACAAGATGGGGGTTTTATTTTTTAATTTGGCGTAACATTTTGACATATCTGCATATTTCTTACTTGTTTGGAAGTGGCTATAGATAGAAAATAGCTATAGCTACTTTTTTTCTACATTTGTAACTGGGAATGTGGATCTTGCATACTTAGCAAATCCGTAACAACTTATTAAGCCTGATACAGACGTGCTCAAAGCAAATAATGATGCAGCAGCACAACTGAACAGTGAACACATTTAAACTCCAGCGTTTTATTTGAGTACATTTCTTGTTTTATTGGAAAAAATTAAATGAAATGTGTCAATGTGAAAATTTGATCTGGAAATCTGGCTTGATCCAGACAGGATGCCTTTTTTGAAAGTTGTCTGTTTCAAACGGTTGCAAGGGCAAGATTAACATGGCTCTTTTTTCTGCTTAGGAAGAACTGGATAAAAGAAGTGATATATAGAATTTCATAGAAATTAATCATCTTAGTTTTATATATATACACAAAAGAAAGATGCTTTTTGTTGCATTTGTTTGAAAATTGGTTTTAGAGATTAAAACGAAATGTCCCAATAATAATTTTAAAATCAATTGTTTCTCAAAATGAAATTGTTTAAGTACACCCCATCAAACTGAAGGTTTGCATTTATTCCTGGCGAGATGGAAACTACTTAATGGGACTGATTTATGTCATTCATATTGTTCAAACTCAACATGTAAAGGAAAGTGTTGCAAAGTCATGACCAATATTGACAAAATACAACTTCTCAGTATAGACCATAAAGAACTCAAGGTCAGGGTCACTCCTCATTACAAACGAGGAGTAATGAGATCCTTTTTCTAAATGAAAATAAATGATATACATAATAACAATTAAAGGATATTTTTGATATAAATGTAAAATTGGATAAACATAGCATTACTCACAAATAGATAATCGTAATAAATGGGCTGTTAATGCTGTTTGTGTTTTCATTAAGCCCCCTTTTTTTAAATAATAGTATTGCTTGCATATTTAAATGATGGTTAATGCTTCTTCCCCAGTTATTTTATGTGTTTGTGAATCGCTGAATATTGCAAGCCCCTGGTGGCCATAATCTGTATCGCACTGTGATAAATCCTTCAGTCATTGGATTGTTGTTTCAAACTCGATGCCTACAATACTTTCACGTCATTTTACTTCTGACTGCTAAAATTACGACCTTTGAAAACTGAAAGAACACAGATTTGTGTCTGTCACTTAGAAATGAGCGTACGGCAACAGAGGACACTTTTCTGTCTATGCTGACTTTACTAGATTAGGCCCCTTTGTTTCTACTGCATTACACGAGCGCTCTTTACATGACCTCCAACCAGAAACGCTTTCATTAGCCTAGAACTATGAACTACCCGACATAAAGGGCCAATGTTGCCAGCTGTTTTCCGGCAAACATGAGAACATCTCTGGCTGAAGGTGTGAGAATGATTTCGGGCATTTCAGCACCAGAGCACGATCAGCGGTTACAGATGGAGGAATTCGCCACAGACAGAAAAAGAAAGAAGGGAATTGGGGGGGAAAATTAATAGCGATTAAGATCTTTGATGGCCAGACCTCCCATGAGGTTCTATACACACACGTGTGTGTGATAGCCTGTGGCACACATCTCTGCGAGGAACATGAGGGATTGTGGATATTATTGGCTCACAAAAAGTTGGACTGCAGACTTTTTGGGGTCACCCAAGCAGTTGAATTAGCAAAGTCTTTTTTTTATGTGCGCTGAAGAATAATGTCATTACTGAGCCGTGTTGGGCAGGAGGAGGTGCGATGAGTGTGTGATGGCGCTTTAGCCAGGACCAGACGGAGGCGCGGACGCAAACACTTATCAAGTCACTCACACTCCTTCAAAAGGTCACAGTACATCATTTCCCTCGCTAGCAATAGCTGCTCCTCGCTAAAGGAGCAGAGCCCTGATCCCTGCGCTCATTAATAACTGTATTAATTATGCTGCCTGGGAATAACATGCATTTCATTATCACTCCCTCCCTCTGTCTCTATCCTTTATGCCCCCCTTATGTTCCCCTCCGACTCCCTCTTCGTCTCTCCTGTTTTATCCCCGTCTTCTTTGTTCCATTCTCCACCTCCATTCTCCACCTTGTCTTTTGTTCCTGACGTTTATTCGTTCTCTTCTGTTTTTTGTCTTTCTGCTCAGACTTCCAGTCGTGCTTGATCTGCGTGGCTCGGAGGGTGCCCACAAAGGAAAGGCCCATGCTTCCCACACATGAGAGCTTCACCACTCGCCAGGACCTGCAAGGTACAGGGAATCAAATGGACAGCAGCTACAAACTGGCGCATGGAGATCTTAATTTTCATCTAATTTAATACTTGTTCAGGTTGAGTAAAAGAAAAAGAAAAGACTGCCTTTGTGTTGAAAGAAATTTCAAATCGGCAAACATTTTTACTAAGTTTTTAAGCATCGTACAAAGGCCCCATTAGGATTGGACAAGCTAGTTGCAGCCACCCATCTTGTCTGCACTGTGGGAGTTGAAAAGAAAAACTGTTGCTTACATGCACACAGCTGTGTGCACATCACCTGGCCTCTGATGTACTAATGCAGTTTGTGTGGTATGCACACCCACAACCACATCACAAAAAAACACACCTTAATGGTTAGTCAGCGACATGTAGTAATTTCCTGTAGTTTCCCACCCGGGCTTCCGTAGGTGCGCATAAATGGGAGCCTCTACTTACCGAGCTGTCCGTTAGCGCCACACGGAGCACGACAATCACCATCATTTGTGGCATTCAGTTTGACATTTTTTCCCCCTTAGAATGAAGCAAAACATCATGTAAGCTGCCAGACTGCCTCTGTAGTTTTTTTTTTGACGCCTTAGTGATTGTTAAATATGATGTATTGCTGTAAATGGCTCCTGTTATTGCTGCTGTGACAAGCTGGTCCATGTAGCTGTCAGTCAAGCAGGAGGGAGTTTGTCAGCCCTTTAAGCGGTCTGTTGCATCCATTTTAAATGGCACATACTTGAGGGACAATGTGCACCGCTGAAAGTGATTGCCTGTGTCGACACAAATATCCTGGATGTACTTGTTAAACCAGGTGGCAAAACAGTGACTTTTATTCAACCTGAATTTCTCGTTTAAATATTAAAACTTAGCAGCCAGTTTGGGTTGGGAGATGGACGTTTATAAGTCTGTATATCCACAGCTGCCGTAATGTCCCCTTGTGTGATTAGGCAAGATTACGTCGCTGGACACGAGTCTACTGCGAGCGTCCATGAAGCCGGGCTGGGAGGATCTAGTAAGGCGCTGCATCCAGAGGTTCCATCTACAGAACGATGGGGAAATGTCTTTTGCCAAGAGACACCAGCAAGAAGGTTATTATTTTACATGTCTTCAAAGTTGGTCTCAGAACTAAAACATTAAATTCAATATAAATATTTGGATGGACACTTTTCCAACCAGTATAACTGACCATGAGCTGTATTCTAAAGAGGAACGGGCAGAAATGTCTCTGGAGATGTAAAGCTGAAAGACAAACGGTAAAATGGTTGAACCTGTAACTTAAATATTTGAATAAATTGTAACAAAAAGCAGCCAACCATGAACTTCAGTCCTTGGATTAACCACCAATCTATTCTAATACTAAAACCAGCAGGAACAAATTTGTTTTATTTTATTAAAAAAAAAAAAAAGAAATGTTTTTGTGCTTGCTGAAGTGAAGCCTGTTGTGTCTACAGTTCTCCGCCACGGTCAAGCGTTCAGTCCAATCTACCGGTTCTCCCTCTCTGATGGAACCATCGTTTCTGCCCACACCAAGAGTAAACTGGTGCGCTCATCTGCCACTAACGAACCTCAGCTCTACATGTCCCTGCACCTCCTACAGAGGTATGTCTCCATAGCTACACATAAGTCAGAAAGAAAACTAATCTTAACATTTGACTAAATGTTTCAGCGTATTGATGCTCTACAGCAACTACTGTTTTGTTTGTAGGTGAAGAAGGTAACATCTTTGTTGCCTGTGTGTCTAATCTCAACCGCAAGTGATTTATAACTTTGTTGACAGCGTCCTGAATGTTCTGAATTCAATTTAATTCAGATTATTTCCATTTGCTGATCCCCTTTCTCCTTATGCACTGAATTTCCACTTACGTGGGATTACTCTATCCTCTAGTTTGCACCACAAATGTAATAGTAGTTAGATTAGGTTTATAGTTCAAGTGAAGGATTATGTGTTCTATGAAAACAGTTAATGGTAGCAGTAGCTCCCTCATTGGCTCCATCCAGGAAAAAAAAAAACAGTTTAACACAAATACTGAGCCAGAAATACTTTCCATGTAAGGAAAAGCACAGAAAGTACTTCTAAGATAACTGAGATGTGCAAAAACTAAAACAGCCTCTGTTTACTGCAGCTTTCCACTAAAGAGTCTCACCAACAAACCATTTGCACAAACATAAATGAGTAACTTACATGTGACTTTAAGAGATAATAATGACCATTTTAACGTTTTTGTGCTTTTATGCAATTCTTCACAATTTTGGCCATTTTAATGTCTTTCATTTGATTTTCTGTAAAGCACTTTATGAATGCCAATATCTCCATCTATTAAGGAAAATGACAAGAGTATGTACAAAAGTCGACTACAGCAATATATCTTAATGCGATTTCTTCCAGGAAAGCGACACAGCTCTACTTAAAGTCACTGCCGCAGACATGCATGCGTCGGTATTTTTTTAATATATATATATATGAAACTCACTTTTTTTATGGTTTCCGTTCACAATTACATTTTACGGTTTTGAGTTGATAATTTGTCAAATATTAAAGTGAAGATATTTCCTCAGGTGTTCTTTTTTTGTGTGTGTGTTTGTGTTTCTTGTTTTTTGAGTCCAACTCCATTAAAGGCACTTGGGCAACAATCACAGCAAGGAGAATATGAAAGAGCTTTAGTCTATTTACCTGATTATCCCTTCATGACTATATTTATCCTCATTCCTCTGTGAAGTTGGTTGATATTAAGAGTTATACCCGTGATAAGCTGGTGCAGACGTTACCCAGTGAGTCAGTGAAGTGTTCCTACTCAGATCTAATTTCTTTTTTTTTTTTAGAGTGCATCAGAAATACTTGCAGAGATGTAACTTCCCAGTGTGTTGTTGTTTTTTTTTTTTTTTTTTTTTGGTTATTATTGTTTATGTCTCGAAGTTTAATAATTAAGACATTTTTCTATCTGTTCATTTAGAGAGCACCCGGTGTGTGGAATGGGTCAGGACGTAGGTGGACAGGAAACGGGGATGACCCCCAAACCGATGAACCCCACCACACCCTCCATGACTCCACCGACCCCTTGCAGTTTGCCCGGTTTGGGGCTTCAGGGCCAAGACACTACGATCAGCAGCAACCTGAGACCTTTCTCTCCTCCGGGCCCAGCTGGCCCGGAGGAGAGAAAGCCAGCAGCCATGGGGGGCCACATGCAGGGCTACCGCTACGGCTGCCCCCCTCCGCACCCTAACTACACCGGGGGCATGCAGCCGCCACAGCAGGGCCCCAACTGGAGGATGAACAGCCCCTCTCGTGCCAGCCCGAGTCCAGCTGGGGGGCCCCACCCGCCTCAGCAGAACTCTATGCTGTCACCAAGGCACCGGGGCAGCCCAGGGGGCGCGGGGAGCCCCCGTGTAGCCGGGGGCCTGCAGTCGCCCTCTCCTGTCGGAATGTGCGGCAGCGGCCCTGGAAGTGCGGGAAGCACCCATTCTAACAGCTACACTAGCAGCTCTCTGTCTGCTCTCCAGGCCCTCAGTGAGTGCCACGGCGTGGGGCACGGGCCCTCGCATGCACACACACTGGGCTCCCCCGACCGGAAGATGGGTTCCCCCGCTGGGGTCACGCCAGGGTCAGGGGTTAACCCTCACATGATGTCTAAATTTGGAGGAAACCCAAGCATCGCAGGTGGAGCAGGAGACTTCGGCACTCATTCAGAGGTGAATCAGGGACACGCTCAGGCCGAGGGCAACCAAACGGAGCCTAAGGAGGAGAGGGAGGGGTCCCTGGACGGTCACGACGGTCACGACGCTCACAGCCGCCTCCATGACAACAAGGGGAACACCAAGTTACTGCAGCTGCTCACGACTAAGCCGGAGCCCCTGGAGACTCCCCTGTCACCGGGCGGTGGAGGGGAGGGAAAGGACCAGGCCGGCGCTGGGGCCCGAGGCGCCCACGCGGTCGGGAGCACTCACGCCACCTCACTCAAAGAAAAACACAAAATCCTCCACCAACTGCTCCAGAACAGTACATCCCCTGTAGATCTGGCCAAGCTCACCGCTGAGGCTACAGGAAAGGAGCTGGGCCAGGACCAATCACAAGGTGCTGGGAACCCGTCGTCGGGGGCAGAAATCACTCCCAAGCAGGAGCCGTTGAGCCCCAAGAAGAAGGACAATGCACTGCTGCGCTATCTACTGGATAAGGATGACACTGTAATGAAGGACAAGGTCTCTAAGCTGGAGCCCGGGGAGGTGAAGGTCAAGGAACACCCCCAGGTCAAGGTGGAGAAGCAGGATACTGGATACGATCGGGCCGAGCAGGTCAGTGTTTGAAGAAAACTTTACTTGTACTGTGTTTGTGTTCTTGTTTATGTACACACACATCAGCAGTTCTGATTAACCAGACTGAGCTTGAGCTGTTTCGCGAAGAGGAAGTGGGTGATATGTTATGGCTGAAACGATTAATGGTGATAATCAATGATAGAAACAATTGTCATTCAATTTAGTAAACGATTAATCGTTAACTAGAATGTATAGACTCATAAATAGGGAATTTGCTGAAAGAAGTACATCCTTAGAGCAGTAATTAATCTAAATTTATGCAACAAAATATATACATTTTGCATTTAAGATAAAAAAAAATCCTGTCTGAAATTATGTTCTACCTACAACAAAAGGAAAATTATACAATTATTATTCCATTAATAAAAAAATCAACATATATAACATATAACATCAATAAAATTATTTTAATGTAAAGTTGAGCAGAAAGTGCTGAGCTCTTTGCATGTTAGTATTTTTTTTAAATAATCTCTAGAATGTGCTGTTTTAGCAGACTAATCAATTAATCATCTGAATAGTTGATAGAATAATAATTAAGATAGATGGTTGCAGCCCTACCAGATATTCTAAAATAATAAAAATGCACAAACTTCTCAGGTTTTGTCTGCCAGGTCAACTTCTCAATTCTGCAGTATGTGCAGAAGGCCAATTAAAAGCACAACCCTTACAAAATGTGTTCGCCTGGGGTGTGAAAACTTCCTCCCTGTCCTTGCATTTAGTTTAGTCTTTTCCTGTGAATTTGCCATGGCTGTGCTTTATTAAGGCTTATCAACACATCTGGTCCCCTCACCGCCTTTGTGTTGGCAGCAGCCCGCTAAGGGAATCTATCTGCCAGCTTCAAACAACTGTGACATTTGGAGGGAGCTCCCTGTGGTTCTCTTCAGCCATTTGATCCCAGTTGCATTTGGCCGGAGTCCTCAGGTTTGGCAGAGCTGGAGGCGGGCTCGGCGCTGAAGGAGGGAATGGAGGAAAGAAAAAAAGGAGGGAACAGTGAGAGTAAAACTCAGTCAATTTAACAGGGCAGAGGTTTGAGACTGACCTGCTGATGGCCTGTCAATAAGACTCCTATTCGTACAGGAAGCTAAACCACATTACAGAGAATAACACCAATATCCTTCCTCTTATTGATCTCTTCTTCTCATTTTCCATTCCGAATCGGCATCTTTACACGGCAGTCGTGTTTTCATGTAGCAAGTGTTTAGGTGTTCGCATAAAACGAGGTTGGACACGATTTGCTGGATAATGAAAGACTGAACAAAGAAGAGGGAGATGAGAAAGGTGTAGATACCCCCAGGAGAGCCCAGCCTCGGCATGCAGGGTGAAAATGATGAGCCATATGCTCCTGCGTGTTCTCGCTGCTGCCATGGAGATGGCAGGCAGAGCGATCGCTGGGCTTGTAGGACGTACACGAAGAGAATGCAGAGTTTAATAATGAAGGTTTGATTTTCGTGGAGGTGCAAAGCAATAAAGTAAACCCGAACAATGGAACGGATTCTCCGGTTTTTAACAGCAGCAATGAAATGAGATCGTTATTAAAGCAGTCATTCCTTCAGTCGCCGACGGCTCATTCCAGGCTAACAGATTTCATTAATGAGAAAAAGGACATTTGTTAGACACGCACTAATCTGCGACTTCATTAGTCACATCATGTGTGTGCGTGCGTGTGGTTTTCTGCGCTCTTATGGTGAATCGCTGCTTGGCCATGTGTGAAAGCTGACTGAACTAGCTACCGAGAGTCATCCTCTCCTCTAACCTCACCCACTGCTTCCTCACCCAGCCTTACTCCTCCTCCTCCTCTTCTTCTTCACCATCATCATTTCAGGGCTGAATTATTGATGGCCGGGGCAGAGTTAAATGAGAAATCAAATCCCAGTTATGGCTGCGGTTCACTACACGGCAGCTTGAAGCTTGTGATTCGATCATCTATCAGTTATCAACAGAGCAGTAGGTGGACACATTAGGTGGTTGTGTTGAGGGTGTTGTCGCACCTTTTTCGCTCTTTCACTCCAAAATGAGACAAGAAAATGTGTCGCACACACAGGGTTATGTTCCAACAGTCTGGAAAAGTTTAGAATTTACTTCCTAAATATTTTTCACACAAAGTATTTTCAAAAGTGAAGTTATAAAGAGAAAATAGAGGATGTTGGAGTATTTCCAACCCATTTTAGAAATGAAAATAAAACATTAGAAATTTTATATCAATTCATCCATCCATGTACCTGTTTGCTTATTCCTCCACCCATCCCACCACCAACAATCAAATATGTCATCCATTAGTATGTTGAGATCTTTCATCCACCCACCCACTTGTCTTTCTTTCCACCTATTCATCCAGCTTAGGTTGGATGAATAGGTGGAATCTATCTGTCCATCTGCATAGATGGACGCAGTGCTTTCAACATTTTTCAGCCTCTGATTACTTGAGAAGAGCTGTGTAATTTGATCACCTGTCGTAAATAGCTTCTTAAGCAGCAGCCGTTACCAAGTTGTTGCTCCAGTGAAAGAAATGTAATTCTATACTCGCTAATTACCAGAGAAGATAAATAAATAAACATGGCTTGAGGAAAGGAGCTGGGATTTGGATTGAGATTTACCTGCATTTAACTAGTGGAAAGCAGATTTTAAATGTGCAAATTTAAAGCCATCTTGCGTGAATAAAATATCCAAGTGTAGCATGGCGTGTCCTGTGATTTTACATAAACTGTGTGAGCACAATTATAAGGCAAGTCTTATTTTTGAAGATTATTTTTATTGATCACCAACTACAGCGTTAATCCAAGCTGTTAATAAACATCAAACATGAATGTTTAAGAAAGAGAAAGTGAGATTTTGACTTTCTTATGAGAATATTCTTAAGTGTACAATTATTGGGCAGCTGTTATTGTGCAGAATTATTATCCAAACAAAATTAAAATGCACATTTTCCCATCTCATTATTTTTATTTTGTATAAGTGATAATTATAATCCCTAACTCAAAACATTCCAGGAAACATTTCTGAAATTGAAAAAAAAAAAAAATCTGTGACCAGTTTTGACCCTTTTATTCAGCAAAAGAAATGAGCTTCCATTCATAAAGTCCATCAGTTTCCTGACCTATTGACTATCAACTTTTTGTCATCTAATACCAGTCCATACCAGTCCCTGACCTCAACCTATTAGTCTGACTTGAAGTGAAGCTCTGTGCCTGTTCCACCCACTGGTTCTTCCATCTGAGCTGCCAAGAGTCACTCTCATTTCCTCTGTAATATCTTTGAAAATTAGCTTTAAAATTAGCTTTAGCTTATGAGTCTTGTTCAGTGGTGGTCGGGTTTCAGCCTTTACTATCTTGGCTGCGTCTCGTAGCGCTGAACATCTTCTGGCAGTTATGAAATATGATGGACCTGGAAGATGATGGCTTCTGGTTCTTCTCAAATCCTTGGTGCTCAATTTTGTCATTTTTCTGGCCCAGTTGACTATTTGTAACAAAGCTTTTGATTTTTCTGGGATTGCTCTGTTGAAATGCACTGATTTTCCAGAGATGAGACTGAGACAGCAAAAGTGTGAAGAACAAAAACTTTTAATATCACTTGCAAGTGGAGAACGACACAGACAACATCATAGCAAACTCTAGGTGTGTTCTGGGGAGGCTGAAACAATCACAGAATCATATACAGTTCCTTGGCATACAGCAAGTGAGAGTCGTTTCAAATCCCCATTACCAAATTAAGACATATAAGATAAAAAGGGGTACTCTGAACCAAAAACACATCCCTGAGGGGAAGGTCTCCTTTATCTAGCTTTCTCCAAAGCTACACAAATAAGTTGAGCATCTCATCCTGTTCCCATAGTGGGAGTGCGCTAACTATTTGTTATCTCTGGCCTTGGTCCTCCCTTTTACCTACACAAAGAAGAGCTGTACCTATGAGTTACTAGGTACAGCTGGCTAGGAGAGAGAAGTAGAAAAACAACTTATACAACTCAGAATATTTTATACATGTCTAACTATTGTAGATAATTAATTTTGTTCCACAGCTGCTAGATAAGTTATCTTATTTCTAAAATAGCCAAGCTCCATTACTCTATGATGTTCACCAAGTTGATCTTTTTTTTAATGACTCATCGGTGACGGTACTTGGTATATATTGGTATATTATTGTAGGTGGCATTGTCATGTATTTGTCAGCAATATTTTGTACTCATATTTATTTCAAGCTTGAATGCCAGCATTCTTGTAGGGGTAGGGTCATTTTAGTTTGTATACTTGACAGTGGCACTTCTGCTTTACTCGATCTGCTTGCATACGGGTCGTTGATGATTCAGCTCATAACATTTCAGTGCAGTTTTAGTTGACATTGTGCTGACAGAACTTATTGAAAAAGTTGTTTGTCTGTTTCACAAACTTTGCCCTTTGCTTTGAACATGAAATGTAACTATTGGTGTTTCAGCTGTTCTCTGTGCAGCTTTCCAGACAGGTGTCTGTGGGTATGAATGCAGCACTCGGAGCAGGAACCAAGACATGTAGACATATTGTAAACAACATTGTAAAAGGTAAAGATTTCTTAGTGTTAAAAAAAAAACAGAAGCACAAGATGATGCTCATAGTCTTCATTACGGTTTAGCAAGTCACGGACACAAAAATAGCTTAACTTAAAAAAAAAAAAATCAGCTACATGTGGACAGTTGGTGAACAAAACACAGATAGTAGATCTGTCAGGAACATTAATATCAATATTTTTATTTCAGCTACAACTATGTGAATTTGATGGACATGTAGACATGAGTAGGTCTTGAGCTGTAGTAAAAGTTTAGACAGGTTGTAGTGTTGTGGATGGATATCTTCTTAGTACCAACTGAACATTGTTTAAACCATTTCCATTATTTTCTGACCACCATGTCCCCATCTTAAGATAGCTGCTTGAAGCAAGGCAACATGCAATAATACAAAATTCAAGACATCCCAATCCTGTCCGTTCTGTGCTATTAAGAATTAAGTCTGTTAAATTGTAAAGCCAAAAGAGGATCACACCCTGCTATGAGCGAGGTGTATGTGGCCGTCAAGAGTATGTGGAACAGAGTGAAGTGTCTACTTTTGCAGAGGTGTTGGTTTCTATTAAGTGTCAGATGAGTCCGGTTTGGTTTGTAGGAGTAGATGTTGGTCAGTGAGCTTCATCTCTGGCTCACTGTGGGGAAACGTCAGCCTGCTGTTGCTAGGCATGCAAATGTCTCTGAGTGCCTAAACTATGAAACATGCATAAAATGTAGGACACATCAGCAGTTGACAGCTAATTCCTGCAGCATGAAGATCATTTTCTGTCTATGACGGTACTTAAATATTGTTTTCTTTTAAGTAATCTAACTTGCTGTCATCTTCACTATTCAGGAGCTGATTCCACCTTATTTTAAGAAATGAAGCTTTATAATGCATTAAATAAGGCAAATTTTTTCCTGCCTTTCTTGAGTGCTTTCAGAGTGAGTCTAAGACTTAATTGGGTGATAAATGTCTAATCTGTGAGTGCTTTGAGACTGTATATTTACCAGGTTGTGATTTTTTTATTTCCTGCCTCTGAATGTTTGCGTGTCGTCTGTGTTCATACGCTTATAGGTTGTAGTGCTGAGAAAAGGAGAACACGGATTGAATTACATACACAGACATGCACCGAAGGCCAGCCAGTTAAAAGGATTGATAGCAGCAGAACCCATTAAGAGTAAAAGCAACTAGAAATGGAGAGAACTGAAAGTGGGAGGAGAGAGAATCGAGGAGGAGGAGAGCAAACGGAGTGTACAGAGGCATTACATCATTCCTGACCTCATTAGGGCTTTTCTCTCTCCCACCACTCCATCCTCACTCTGCTACTCTCTCCAGGTCTCCTATATATCCACTCGGCTCGTCCTTTCTCAGTATTATCAGCATTGTGGGGCTAATCATTTTTATCCCGTTTATGAGGACCTACCGGGTCTGCCTCTTGTGGTGTGAAAGCTGAGGACCTTGAGCTCTTCAGATAAATATTCTGTCAGACATGTTTGGCTATCCTGCTATCAGCCGTAGCAGTTCCATGCCTGACAAATAAATGTCACTGTATGGAAAACTGAAGTGCAACACTACACAATACCGTGGGGTTGTACTGCTGTACAGTATGTCACGATCTGTAAATATTGGCCCAGGCGCGATGCACTCTGCTGGACAGTTAAGGCCACTGCAACTTATTTACTAAAACTCCCAGTGGCTGCCTTGAAATCATTGCATTTAATTGATTATCTGCTATTTATGTGTTTACATTGACTAAATTTTGCTTCATTTATTTGGTGGTGTTATAATTGTTAGATGTATACTCCTGATAAAAGTCTTACAGCTTAAAAACATTTTGCTGGTACTCGCATTTTGTGCCATTGGACTAATACCAGGTTGAAAGTTCAACTTAAAATTTTTAAAAGATGAAATGGGAGTAAAACGCAAACCAGAGTGGACTATTTCTTATACAACTTATTTAAATTTAAAATGGGTTATTAATCGGCTGATTAAAAGTTTAAGCTATTCGTAAATAGTACCTGCCTTGAAGCTAAAGCTACAGCAACATGTAGCTAGTTTTTAGTGTTTTCACACTTGTTTGATTGGGGACCAAAGTTACATTTGTTTCATTTTCACCTGGTGTGATTTGCTTTCACACTGCACTGTGCCAAACAAACCAAACGCTTTGAAAAACCAGTTTGCCTCCTCGCATGTGGTGGTGCTGCACCAAGAACCACTGAAGGAAACAACAGGAAAACTTTTGAAGAAGACAAAGCACAACTTCCTCCTTCAGAAAATGAAAACAAAAATGGGTTGGCATCCGAGTTTAACAGTAGTAGGATTTCTCTTTTGTTTCTGACTGAAAACAAAAACAACCCACAAACCATTTCTCCCGCTAGTGCTAAATGTGGGCCTGCTTTTGAGGAGGTCTCCAGTCCACTTGGCATTCATATGTGCATTTGAACAGCTCCAGAGTTCACTTCAACCGAACCGAGATCTAGGTTTTTTTTGGTGTACTGGAGCTCAATTGCCTTTTAACAGCCTTTGACTTAAATTCGGTTATCTGGGGTCAGACTCCAATCCTTTGGACCAGAGAATAAACTTAGGAATGAAATATTTCCCAGTACGAAAATACCCAGCAACACAAAAGGAAGTTTGTGCTGTTGGAGGCCAAGATGTAGAGATGCAGTGAAACAAGAGTCCTTACTTGTGTAGTTCAACAATCCTTCCTCACTCAGAGACAGAAAGCTGTGTGCCATAATGATGCTGTACATGCTTGACAGAAAATGACATCAAATTTGTGACAGGCACAAATTTTAAGTTCTTAAGACTATTTCCTTCAACTTCTGATCAATCGATGACCAATCTGTTTGCTTCAATGTAGTTTTCATTAAAAATATATATTCTCCATTTGTTTTGCTCTCTTGTTCTCTTTTTTACAGCTCAGCCTTCAACTAATACTATTGAATTTTAAGAAAATTGTCTATCACTTGTTTTCCAGGCGAAAGTATAATTATTACATTATATATTATGACAAAATAAACTGTCCCTTCAAAATAAAAGTAGTTTATATTAAACAGGAGCAAATGAAAGGTCATCATGAAATAGTTTGTCAGGAGACCTATAGTCTGAAAACTGGGTAGATCATGTTTCTGCAGCTCATACGACAGCTTTAACAGTATCCATGTGATATTGTTAGTACGCTAATCTCATCCAGCTTGACAGTGATTTGATATATCTTATTGTTGGTAAATGAAGGTAGTTTTCATCTTGCATGTTTGCATCTTGCTGTTCTGTCTTCCCCCGGCTAGAAGTTGGTAACATCTTTTATGTAAAGCAAACATCCTGTTGGCCTTTTTAATTTTACATTTCAGATGAGTGAAAAAGCCAGAAGTACATGAAAATACAAAAAAAATCCTAGGAATGATTTGTTCGTTTTTTGTTTTTTTTTATCAGTGCCGTGGCTCCACGAGGCCGCCACTATCTGGAAACCGAGTATCTGTTGGAGGCTGCAGATATTTTCTAAAAACGGCAACTATTTCCCTGACCCTTAACTCCCGACACTGAGCAAGTAAAGCTCTCTCCCCACCTTGGCCTTGTCCTTGTTGAAGATAAAAGCTTGTGGAAAGCTACAACAACTTGTCACATCAGATGATATTCCTTTTGTATTTACATGTAGCCCTGAGTGGTGGTTAGCTCTTTGCTTAAACTTCTTTATTTTACTCCATTATCTGGTTGAAAAACTCTACATTATCATACATTTTGGATTCTGAAACAGGCGGGTTTCAGATTGTGAAAGTCCTTTAATTTGATCATCTCGGTTTTGGCCTCTAAAATGTCTCGAGCACACCAGTGTTTTTCCATACTGCATCTTAAATATTTTGCATCCTCAATTTATTCACACATTTTTTTTTATTCATCAGCTTTTTTTCCCCAAAACATAGTCTTTCCTCTCCTACCAAGACTTGTTTTTGTTGTTTATGAAGGGAGTTGAAATATTTGTGGTTGTCATTCTCTGCCAGCTCATTCACTATGGAAAAAAAGAAATCTATTAACACAGTTTGGCTTGGAAACAGACATTTCAGCAATTGACCTTCTTGGAATGACCGTTGTGTGAATCTTTATGTATACTATAAGAAACATAGCTATACTTCAATTGTTAAGCAAGTAAATATTGGGTAAGCAAGATAACTTGAGTTGTTTTAGTATACCAGGTAGGCCTTAAATGTGCATTATAAAGCTTTATAAAGCCCTCAGTCTCACTTTCAGGAAACAAAACTCAAAATCTGGATTCTTTGAGAATAAAACATTTGCTCTTTTGTCCAAAACTGCCTTTGTTAATTTGAACTTTAAAGCAGTGTGACGGCATGATGCAAAACCACCATACTAGCTAGAGCCAGATTCTTTGGTTTGAGTCCACTTTGATTCTTTGTCATCTGAGCATCAGGTGTCTCTACAGAAGACGTTCCAGCAGACCTCTCCAGTCGAACATCTTGTCCAACGTTCATTAGAACGTTTTGTATCTGTACATGGATGTCTGGCTTTAATCAGTTTCTAATTAGAATCCCACATGCCTCATCTGTTTGCTTTCATAGTCATCGGAGCTTGACGACATCCTGAATGACCTGCACAGCTCTCAGTCGCAGCTCTTCTGTGAGCAGCGGCCAGTTTCGCTGCCCAGTCCCATGGACAAACAGAACATCTTTAATGACATCCTGCAGATGTCAGAGAACAACGCCGCCATGGCGGCGCAGCAGCAATCCAGAGGCCTCGGACCCGGCATGGGTCAAACTAGTAAGTAGAGCTCAAACTCGGGAGGGGGGGACAACAGGAACATTTTTAAGCCTGTTCATTCTTGTTTTTTAGACTTTGGCGCTATCCGACCAGGGCAGCCAGGCAGGGCATTACCAGTGAGGAGTGTCTCTCTGGACATGAATGTCCCCTCACAGCAGCCATCATTGCAGTACCCGATACGGGCCAACAGCCCATACCCTGTAATGCAACAGCAGCAAGGCATGTTAGGAGGTCATGGCATGATGCCCAGCCAGCCTGGTATGGGCAATGCAGGTAAGTCTAAACAAGAGCTCTTCAAGTCAAATCCAATTATGTTATTATGGTCCAACATAAAAAAACAAAAATACAACTGTAGTCCTGAACTGTGACACTTGTGGCTGATTCCAAATTCCGATTAGACACTTTTCCTTCTGCCTCTGTGTCTCTCACCCGAACCCATCAACATCATGACACACTGACTCACTTCCTGTGACAGGAAATAGTCGCCCACACACCAGCGAAGTTTCTCTCACTGCGTCTCCCGCATATCGATCCTCCCCAAGCAACTTCCAGCATTGCTCACGAAAGATTTCCCCTTTCACATCGATCCCAGACCACTGCAATATGTTTACAGAGAACATTCCCCAAAATCTTTTCAGGCCGTTTTCTCACCACTTGTTTTCTCTGCGTCGTTGTCCTTCCTCCCACTCCCACAGGGTTGATGACACAAGGTGGTCCGCGGCCAGCCATGCAGCAGCAGCAGTCGGAGGGATGGACCGGTCCAGCTTCTGCACCTCCTATTGGAGCTTCTGCTCCGGGACAACAAGGAGGCATGCAGGGTAGGATGGTGCCCGGCACCGCTCCGATGAGACCCAACAGCCAGCCAGGACCCCGGCCGATGCTGCAGTCTCCAATAATGACTAATGGTGAGAGCCAATTTAAAAACGTCTTGGTATGAGGGTGCAGAAATACAAAGCTGAATTACAGAGACTTTAAATCTGTAGTTCATAGTATCGCCCATTTGAAGCTGCTTAAGTAGCATGAAGAAGACCTCAGTTCACCCCCTCAGTTTACTAGCTCATCAGAGTTGTAAAGGATGCCATCTTGTGGTTGGTCACGGTGTAGCAGGTGAATTGTTTTACAACCATCATTTTTACCTTTTTTGCTCTTGTGAAAGAGAAATTGTAAAAGTATATTAACAAATATATCTGGGCATCTCTCTAATAATTACATTGACCCAAATATTTCTTCCTTTCTCTTTCAGCCCAAGTTGATATGGATATTAATATGGTCGGCCACCATTTCTCCCAGCAGCAGGCTCCGCCCAATCAGACAGCTCCCTGGCCGGACAGCATGATGCCAATCGATCAGACACCTTTTGTAAACCAGAACAGGTACGTTTTTAACCACAAATTACCTGCTTTCCTGTTCCCAAAAGAAGCCGGTAGCATTTCTGTCTGGGAATTTTCATAAATGTAAACACTTTTTTTCCAAACATTTCTGAAATTCAAGTGGACATTAGGTATTTTTGTTTCCTTTTCCACAGACCTGCACAGCAGGACGATCTCCTCTGCAATCCGAGTCTTGATCAAGGGAGCGCAGTAGATGAAGGGGCCTTGATGTCCCAGCTGTACTCGGCGCTAAAAGATTTTGATGGTTTAGAAGAGATCGATCGAGCTCTCGGCATCCCCGCCCTGGTAGAACAGGTGAGCTTTTCTAACACTGTTTCTCACAAGGGTAATAATACAACTTGAATTGTCATAGATATTATCGAATAAGTCGAAATATTTTGTTGTGCATTTGTATTGTGCCTCTTTTTAAATCAGAATACAGCTACATAAAATCTGGTGCAACCAGCTACCTTCAAACATCACCTTATCAGTAAAGAGAGTCGACCTGTTTGCAGTTTAATTTGTGAAGGCTTCAGAAGTTTCATAGAGAACATTAGTGAATAAAGAGCGTCTTGTAGACTAAAAAACAGCAGACGGGTTGGTGTTCAGGTTGTAAATTCCTAATACAGTACACTACAATAACATTTGAGGTTGTTTTGTGACAATATTTTAGAAAAAGGTAAAGGTTACTGAATCCTTTACCAAAGTGCTGTAATTTTGTTGTTTTTGTTTTTTTGCTCCAATTTCTTACAGATATTCCACTAATGTTGATTGTTTACTGTTTCAGAGCCAGTCACTGGAACCAGACCAGTTCCCCCAGGACCCCACCATCATGTTGGACCAGAAGCCCCCAATGTACGCGCAGCAATTCGCCCCGCCGCCCTCTCACATGGTGCCGAGGGGCTTTCCCGGCCCTCCCATGCAGGAGCCCGGCTTTCACCCGATGGCCGGCCAGATGGGCCCCCGGCCTGGCTACCCTATGATGAGAATGCGGCCTGGACTCAGGCCGGGCGGGGTCGCCCCGAACCAGCCCAACGCACTACGGCTGCAACTCCAGCACCGGCTTCAGTCGCAACAGGTACGCTGCACCACCCTGACATGAAACAACATGCAGCCCATTGATCGACTCTGTACTCACAGGTTTGAGTTATCTAATCGCTCTATAGGCTGACAAATTTGAAGCCCCTGATTGCACATATTTAGACTTCTTAATGATCTTTCTGTATTTGCTGCTGTTATTACCATTATTACCAATTTCTTGTAATTTGCACTAAATATGGTCTGTGTGCATTCATGCCAATTGTTTTTCACCATTGACCTGGACTAGAAATGAAAATTAACCCTTATGGCTAAACCTGGCATATTCATATGGTAGTTTGTATGTACTGCTGTTGATTTGAGAGTAAAACTTAAAAATGAATGAGGAAAAGCTAAATTCAAAGAAATTAAAGAGGAAGTCAGTAACTCTTTCTATTTGTGCTTAAATGTGTTTTTGTGTTTTGCTTCTTTTTTTTTTCCAGCAGAAAAGTCAACCAATGATGACTCAGATGACTGGCGTGTCAAATGTGAACCTACCTCTAAGAGCCAGTGCCCCAAGCCAGGTACAACCACCATCATGTAACATTCCTGTACAAACATGTTCCATCTACTAATTTTGCTTCCTGATACTTCACAATAAACTAAAGACTGAAAGATACCACAGTATATTGCAAACATATTCATACGCCTTATATTTTTTTCCACACTTGGACACATTGCATCCACAGATATGCATTTGTGAAACAGGTTACATTTGACATTTTCTCGACGTCACTCTGACATTTCCTTTTTCCTGCTGTTTCCAGGGAAACATCAATGCTCACATGTTGGCGCAGCGTCAGCGGGAGATGCTCAGTAACCACTTGAGGCAGCGACAGCAGCAGCAGCAGCAGCAGCAACAACACGTTCAGCAGCAGGCCCAGCAGGTCCAGCAGCAGCGCAGCATAGCCATGAGGGCCCAGGGCCTCAGCCTGCCTCCCAACATGGCCGGAGGCATGAGCAACCCCAGGAACCCCCAGGCCGCCCCCCAGCAGTTCCCTTACCCGCCCAGCTACGGTACCAGTACAGGCCTGGCCTCGTCACCTCCCCCACCAGCCCCTTCTCCTCCCCTCTCTCCCCCAGCCTTCCCTCTCTGCCCCCCAACCCTCAGCTCCACCTGCATGGCACCTCCTCTTCCTCCACCTCCTCCTCCTCCTCACAGATGATGATGGGAAACACAAACATGATGGGCGGACAGTATGTGGGCGTACTCAGCCCCCAAATGCAGCACAGTGCCTTTCAGTTTCCCAACTCAGGTACTGCTCCCCCTCCCCCTGCCAGCCAACAGCACACTTCACCCAACAACGCTGTATATGTGTGTGTGTGCGCACTTGTTTGTGTGTGTCGATGTGAATCAATTGGAATGCGTCACTTCCAATTGATGCCGTATGCCAGATTTCTAATTTCATGCATTGATGATCACAATCATCATAAACTGATACAAATGAAGCTGCATATTTTACTCAGTACACCTATAAATGATCTCCAAGTTATGCTTTTCTACTCCACAAGATGGAGCCAGAGGTCAATAAATCAACCCAACCACCTCCCAGTTTGGCCATGAATTCTCTGAATAGTTTGCCGTTCTTTACCTGATTTATCTAATGACATTTACCAGATTTACGTCTTTTTGAGATTTCACCTTTTTTAAAAATAATCTCCATCTTCGCTCTTCTGTTAAAATGCATGTAGAAAATTCCACCTGCCTGTAATTGACCCTGAATGCCGAGACTTTTCCACCTTAAAACACAGAGAACTCTTGTATACCTCGTCTGTTTTGTCACAGCACACTCTTCTTCTTCTTCTTGCATTTGTTCTAAATACATTAAATATATTTGGTTTCTGTGGAACGGGTGTGGTTGACGTGTTTGAATTGGTCCTCCGCAGGTATGAGCCAACAGGCAGACGGGAGTTTTCCCGGAGCCAGCACGCCGCAGAGCCCGCTGCTTTCCCCCCGCATGGCGCACACGCAGTCCCCCATGATGCAGCAGGGCCAGCAGAATGCCGCTTTCCAGGGTTCCCCTGACATGAACGGATGGCCACAGGGTAATATGGGAGGCAACAGGTGAGGACGACCAGGGCATCCAACTGAATGCGATTGTAAAAACGTAAAGACTGAGTTCATGTTTGTGGACCTCAGTGCTTTCAGATTTCTGAAATTTATAGATGGCTTATTATATAAGAGGTTAAACTGAGTGGGTTTTTTTATGAGGATATGCATCAGTGTATTGCTAAATCTCCTGAGATTGCTGTGAAATCTGTTTAAAAAGTGACTTTCTAACCAATTTACGTACATTTCTATTCTTTCTAACTATCAAAGCATGAGAAACAAAAATAAAAACAAGCATTTATTTATTATGTGCATTCTGGGACATGTTGGTACTGCATTTTTTATTTATTTTCTTTATCTTGTGAAAATCCATGCGCACACATTTAATTCAGACAATCCAAGCTAACGGCCTCCGTTGCGTTTCCTCTGCCCAGCATGTTCTCGCAGCAGCAGGCGTCGCCGCAGTTCACTCAACAGAACAGCGGCAACATTTACAACGGCAACAGCCTGGGCCTCAGCAACCAGCTGAGCAGCCAGATGAGCGTCACATCCATGGCGTCGGGGTCCTCACCCGGTTTGCCCTCCATGGGACAAGAACAGGTGAATATTTATAGTGACGTTCTGCTAAATTTTCAGATATAATTGGAGCTCCACTTATTTGTCTAAATGTAGATATTGGTTTGTCACTTTCTGTGGGGAGTAAAAATGTTTATGTACAGTATCTGGTAGTAGCAGCTGAAAACCATGCTCCTCGAATGAGCTTGATTCAAGAAGCAATTACACCAAAAAATTATTATTATTCCAAAAGCTTTTTAATTAGTTTTAAATCATGTCTAAGGTATTTTTAACAAGCCCTGAAAAATATTTCAGGGATGGTATTAGTTGTGATTGATTTGTGAGAGTCCACAATATATTAAAACTTTTGCACTGAGTTCTTGCATTTTTTTTTAAACCATTAAAGTTGTTTCTTGTGTCATGGATTAAAACCGTTCGGCTGAATTAGAAATCTGACAATCGTGACCCAGATGAAACCTGACTTCTTTTACATTCATCTCCGTATTTCTGTTTGAGTTATTCTAAGCACTGTGTTTGGCTCTCTTTCATTGAATTGCCCCGTGGTGAATAATTTACTCCATAGTTTACGTAACTCCTCTGAAGTTCTGCTACTTCTCTCCCAACTTTTAGGGCAGTGATGTAACTGGGCACTTTAAAGTCAGACCATTTAGTTACACTTTTATGTAGGGTGCTGACATTACTCACTGACTCGCATGTTTCGTGTAACAACATCACTCAATTGCTGCTGCGCCCCGCTCGTTTAATGCCCAGCAAGTTAATTTGTCTGCGTTTGTCTCGCTGGTATCGTTAGGCTGTGTATCTGCGATGCTGTTGACCGTAATGCTTTTAAGCCCGTAAAGATCCATGAATATTTAACTACAGTGCTCCTGTTTGATTGCCTGCTGTCCAGAATGTTGCAACAAAGCAGCGTGTCTGTCACTGGACTTACCTCGCCTCCCGGTTTATAGAAGAAAACATATTGGCACTTAGATTATTTCAATTATTTACTGTTGAGCCATTAGTGCGTGCATTTGTGTTTTTCTTCTATTGGTTTTACGCATGATGGTGTTCTCCAACATGCTTTGTAACTCCTATAGTTAGAGAAGTTCAAGGCTCAGAGGTTTATTTAGCAATAAAAATGTAATCCTTTAAACACTCTTAAATACATCTATGTTTTCCATAAAATGTGTTAAATGATGTGTACTTTGCTGTAATTCAGGTTTTTTTTAGATTTCTTATGTAAACGATTATCTTAGTAATCAAATAATTGATTATTGTGATGAACATTTGAATAAAAACTTCCCTTCTTCAGTAGTAGCTACTTAAGCTAGTAAAGAAGAAGCTCACAGATAACTTATCAAGATGAATTTTAAAATCACAGGTACTTGAATCATTCCATAATCGTTTCAGCCCTAGTTAGTGCTGTATTCTGACAGCACCCCACACCGCATTCCCGTCATCCGACCGTGACATCTGCCTCGCTCTCCCTGACCGTCCACTTGAGAGTGCAAGAGGTTTAAGGCATTCTTATGCTCATGAAAAGTTCTCCTCACCATTCCTTATATTTTGCCACGTTAGAAGCTCTTTTAAAGCCTGACCTGGTTTGTGAGAAACTTTCTAAGTAGGTGAAATTCTAAGAAAATTTTTTGAATTTGAGAAATTTTAAGAATTTTGGATCCGTTATGTACACAGGAGCTGAAGTTTAACCTAATGAAACTTGCTGGTACTCTGTGAACAGTTGTTTTAAGTGCATAAAGTAATATTTGCATTTCTTCCACAGAAATTCTGTTGACCCCTTTGAAGCTTCTTAACACGAACCTCAGCGATCAGCTGGTGCAGGGAGCGCGTCGGCCCTTTAAGAATCAAAAACACAAACTCGTAAGTAACCGACGGCCCCTTGGACCAGCCGGGCCGTGTCCTGAGCCCCTTGTCCCTTCCCCGCTCACTCCCTTTTCACCCCAACTGACCCGTTGGGCCCCGGACTGACACAGGAGTGAGCAGAAGGCCAGCCTACCTGCCCGTCCAGCCGCATTCACCGTCGTGTGACTTACTGTAGGGCCCTCCTGGTGGGATACACTGACTTCAGGGAGCAGAGGGGGCATCAGTGGATGTGTTGAATGTATTCCTCTCAGCGGACAGCGGCCATCTACAATCTCATCTCAGAGAAGAACCGAGTCGTTCTCTCTTCACTCATTTGGGACTTTTCCTCATGGGTTTCAAACGGCAGCAGAGACTCCCAGGTCATGTTCACAAGTACGAACGGAGCTCAGTCAGTTTTTTGCCTTTTTGCTGTATTTTATTTTATTATTTTATTTGTATTTTTTTTCTTGTTATGAAAATTAATATGTAGATTGAAGACGGGGCGGGGCGGGGGACTGATCTGGATAAACACTGCAGAAAAATGATTTGAGTGGAATTCTATTATTAGAATAATTTAGTCAAGAGGTTTATATAGTGTATTAAATTAAGTTTTATTTTTCTGTATAGATTCATTTTAATTATTGTAGATGATTCTTTATCCTTGTAGCAAGAAGATTCCTAAAAGTGTGAAAGAGGCACTTTTTATCGTTTTTAACAGTAATGGTTAAGAAGATTCTTCTAATCACCTGAATTATAGATTATAATCTTGGTCCAGCTGTTTCAGAAGATGTCAAAATCAAATATGGTTCAAAATGAATTGTACATACCGATGAGTAAAAAAAACTTTTCTTTCCTATTTATTTTATTCCTTACTGGTCACTACTGCCTCTCTTAAAGCAGAGCAGTTATATGTGCTTTTTTTTTGTTATTGTTGTTCTGTGAAGTCCTGACATTCTGATGTTCTGGTACGACTCGGACTGGGGGTGCAGGTTGTTCTTAGTGGGTGTGCTGTGTATACAGTGTACAGATTATGGCTTGCTTTTCTGCCTTTTAGCATAGAACACAAAAAAGTGGGAAAAAATAAATAAATTAAAAAATCCTCACAGCCATACATTAACTCAAAATTATAAAGAAAAAAAAAAGTGTGCTTTCTTTGTCGTCTGGAGTGAAAACTGCTTCGTTCAAGCTGCTAGGTGCAAACTGTTCGGGTGTGATGTAAACAAGCAATAATTACTTGAGAATCCTTTTCTGTTTGTTTGTTTTTGTAATTTTTGTACAGTTTCCTGAATTTAGAAAGGAAAAAAAAAAAACAAACGTTTTTGCTCTGCGTTTGGATGCAGTATTAAACGCCGTTTTCTATTGCAGTTTGTACCAAGAAAAAGTCAACATCCACACACACACACACACACACACGCCAACACACACAGCGTTCTTGATAAATTATGCAGCCATCTGAGGGGGGCAGGAGGAGCTGCAGAGGGGAGGTAGTTTATTCCCCCCTCGTGATCGAAATGAGCCCTCTCTTCCTCCAGCCTTTTCTTCTATTGCAGAGGTCAGAGTTAAGACTGCACCTGCTCTGACAGACACTTAGCCATATTTTATGACCTCAGGCAATTAAAGTATAAAAGTGTTCGCTGATGACATGCTGATCTATTTCCCCAGAAGGGAATTGAGATCCGAAGCTAATCATCCTCTCTAACCTCAAGAAAGAAAAAGAAAAAAAAAAAAAGCAACTTTTATATAAACTATTTTACCCAGGAAAGACTTTGATCAAGCCAAATGATTCCTCACATTTCAATTGGATTTCTTTCACCTCTTAGTTAACCAGCCCACACAGAAACAAAAAAAAACATAAGACAGAAAATTCCTAAAGATGTCACTGAGCAGGATCTAAATGCAGATGTTCGTCATAAACCAGATTCACTCTGAATGTATTGTCATTGAAGACCTATTGTTCTTTCTTTCCTAACTTGTCGTTGTTGTCACACCATGGTCTTTTCTGCATTTCTTTTTTTTTTCCCTTCTCGTTTCAAAATCTAATTCGAAATCTTGGTCGAATTACCAAGATTTCGACCAAATCTTGGTAAGTTGGTAGGTGTAGGTGCAGCCTCTACACCTGAGCGTGTAAGCGTAGAAGCTGCACACTCACTCTGCTCGCCCTGTGGTTGGTGGCCGTGACTCTACAGGAGATCATACTTTGTTTTTCTTCCCCATTAAATGCTGTTCTGATTGTAAAATCCACCCATGCAGAATAAAGCCTTTAAAAGCCATTTTCTCAAATAGGCTTTTAAAAGGATTCAGAGCCCTTTGCAAATTTCCAAAGATTGTCAGCGTTTTGAAAAGAACTTAAAGCCATGTGGTAGCAGTGCTTTTTTTTTTTTTTTTTTTTTTTAAGAATTTCTTAAAGAAAAAAGAAATTCTTATTCAGACTTTGGACCCACGTAACTACACACTATATTTTCTTCTCTTTAACCTTTGCTTTTGCAGAACTTTAAATACCCTTTTTGTATCGTCTGCTGGTTTCTTAGAGCTAAGATGCAAACCTTTGAAATGCTAAACACCCTAGCATATTGCCTTAGATTTCGTCCTGTTCTTGTAAATTACACTGCTGTCTGTATAAATTTGTATAATGACTGGTTGTACAGTATTTGAATGGGCGCACCACTATTCACCTCTCCTCCGCTGCTGAAAACTGGGTCACTCCGCTCCCCACACAACCACGATCATTGTTCTTCTAAGTTGGGATGGGCTCGTCCTCTCCTCACTGTCGTATGGAAAAGATGATACACAGAGATACTGAAGCAATATGTACTATACATGATTCTTCTGAAGAAAGATCACTGTTGTTTTGTTTTCTTTTTTTTCTTTTTTATCGTTTTGTTTCTCTGCGTCGTCCGCGAGTCGCACTGTATACCTGCATCCATCTGACCTTTGTTACCCCACGGTTGTGTTTGTGTGTGAGCATGTGTGTGGGTGCGTGCGTGCGCGTGTGAGTGTTTTATGCAAAATTAGATATATAAGAGAAGGTAAAACCACAGTTATGCAAGTTGTGAACTAATATGGCTTCGCTGATGCTATTTGCCTTGTAAATAAAGAATTCTGTTAATGCATAATTTAGCTGTTTGCGTCTTTTATTTCACGCTGGTAGTAACTTAAAAAATATATAAAATTTTTACTTTGGTTTTGGATTCCTTCTCCCTGATGTTTAAAGGCTTATAGATGAATTTATTCCCAATTTTATTCACTTAAATCACTGCATAAAGGGAGACGTACAGAAAGGTTTTTTTCACAAGCTTAATTAGCAACGCCACTTATGCTGGGTTTCAGAACAATCATAAATTAATAAATATGAACTTGGTCCTCTTGAATTAAAAAGTATATATGTACACATTGAATTAGCATATCTTTTTTTTGCATCATGTAAGAAAAAAAAATACTCATTATAGACTTCTTGTGTTTTGATATCTGTTGCTTACAACTAATGAGAAGATCTGTTTTAAAAATTAAATTATTTAAAGCCAAAGTACATATTTTAAATCCATAAATATTACTATGATTACTGTGGGGAAGACTGACAACTTGATGTCCTGCTGACAGTTACTGACTCCCTCCACAAGGAGGAAAAGACAAAAGTTCCCTGCAAATGAAACTGACTTTGCTGTTTGCAAAAATTTTAAAGGAAGTTGAGTGGAAGAAAAAAAGCGCACAAGAAAAGCCAGTTTTAAGAGTTCAGTGGAGACTACAGCAAGCATCCAGTAGGCCTATCTGGGCTATAATTCAAAATACTACTTTTGAGATGAAAGTATTTTTTATTATTAGTTTTTTTTTTATAACTTTCATCTAAAGTCAGAGCCCAAGCGTCGGGAGAAAACACGTGGAATCCAAGCTGCAGAGGTCCAGTGGGAGGTTTCCCAGTCTGCGACTTAACGGGAAGCCATGTCATCTGCTGTTGGATCACTTGGGCTAAACTCAACACCTTGTCAGTTCCACTTGAAATATAGGTGGGTAACGAATAGATGCAATGCACGGATATCCTTTCTGAATTGTACTAGTGATATGAATTGCACTTTTGATGATATTCTCATTGTATAGTTTTTTCTGACTAGGGGCTGGCATTGACTCGTTGCAGCCAGACCATAACCGCCTCAAATCTAAAGTTATTATGATCCCTGATCAAATAACAGAGTGACCTCCCGCTGTCGTCGCTTATTGGAGTCGTACAACTTACACTTACTTCCTTACAGCGCGGATATATTCTAGAAAATGACTGCAGATTACTTCAATTGTCGGTTGCCCAGGTGAGTACGAAACGGCTCCCAGGTGGAGAAAAGCAAAGTAAGAAGATCACTGGGTGAGGTTGCGATGTTTAAGGGATATAAGCTGCAAGGTGGGTGAATAATTTAAAGAAGTGTTTATTGCGTTGAGTGGTCGGTGAAATACTCCCGTGTTCTTCCGTCTGAGCACACCAGAGTGCGTGAAAGAAAAAGGTATGGCACTGAAAGAAAAAATGTTTTTCGAGACCTCGTTTAGTTCATAGAAATGTTCGAACTGTGAAATTAAAGAACGCGTGAAATCGTGTGTAGATTAACTCAGTGGGCTGTCCTGCGCAGATGAATTAAGATGCATGAGGCTGTGCGGATTCCTCAGCCAATGAGAGAGGAAGACGCCGTGAAGCATCTTCAGCGGACCTGAACTCACGGATATCCTGAGTTCTGGTCATCTGAGGTGCCCTCAGATGACCAGAGACGCGTCCAGATTTAGGTTTGTGAAGCTCGGCTCTGATGACGGATAAAACCTCCTGAAACGGCTGCGATTGGTAAGCTTTTCTTCGATTGTATTTTAAAACGGGTTTCTAACTCTTTTGCTTCTCCTGATTCTTGAATCGCGTAAAATCTATTTTTGTCGTTTACCCAAAACTGCGATTTACGCACGGAGCATGACGCACGCCAACTCCAGACCCTCCACCCACTGTTCAGTAAATTATTGTTCGGGAAACGTTAAGGTCCATTAAATGCTTCATCAATGCTGACCTCTGCTGCGACCGACTGTTCTCTGATTGGTGTCATGACCCTGGTTTGTCTCTCTATTTACTGGTTCCTTCATGGCCTCCTCACTGCTGTTTAGTTGTGTGAAGTGTGTGACCTCTCAGCTGGAAATATTGCAAAATCGGCTGCCCATCTTTTTTTTTTTTTGTTTGTTTTTTTGAACGGCTGTCTTCAAATGTCCACTAGAATTTCTGCCCTTTTTCAGCCCACATTGAACCAGTGAAAATACCCAAGCTGAATATAATTGAATGGTGGATACAATCTGCAAAAAACAAACAGAAAAAACCCAATTGAATAATAAATTGAATGAATTTCAAACAAAGAAAATAAAAGTTTTTTTCCCCCACACTCACTGAAACCTGCAATTCAAATTAAATTCCAGACTTTTACAGGCAGGAATTCTTGGACCTTCCTTAGTCCATTTAACTAAAAAAAAAAATAGTTACTTGTGAATTTCACGCAGTCAATCCCCCGCAGAGAAGAGTTTAAAATGGCTAAACCTGCTGGTTTGGAGAAGAGATATACAACTTTCGACAAGGGGGCAGAGAATAAATCCTGTTTAATATGCTCCCTCTTCTCTGCTTATCCATACCTGAAAATGAATTCAAATGCATCACTGCATTACAAACTGCACAGGAATCCTGCAGTTTGCCCGACATGCAGGAATATGATAAGACAAGAAAAAAATCTGAATTATGAATTGTACTTTATGTAAACAAATGCAACGGAAGCATGCCCAAATAAAATCAAGCGCCTGTCTTTTTTTTTCCATTGATGAAACGCATTAAACTTTAACACTCGCCTCTTTCTCTTCCCTACATCCCCTGAAGAATCCTTCCCCGCTTCACGCTCTGCGCGCTCATGTCAGCGTCCGTCTCCAGCGTCCCCGCAATGTTGAAGGAGAAAAGCTTCCAAGCCGAGATGCTGAAGGGCAGTCCCGTTCGGGGATTCTTCCCCAGCCCCTATCCCTACATGGACTTCTTCCCCCGGACACACGCCCTCCTCCACCCGCTCAAGTCGCTCGGTCGGCTGGTGTCGGACGCCCGGGCGTCTTTTCCCCTCGGGTTCCCCGGAGGCGCGGCTCCATTCCTCGGCCACAGCGCGCACAGCGCGTCGGGCTCTCCGTACACGAGCCAGCTGTTTCCCGGACACGCGCTGCACCACAGGCCGGAGGAGCTGGCCGCGGTGGTGACGGAGCACGCCGCCGGTCCGCTGTCATCGGACTTCAGCAACCCGTCCAGCGTCCCGTCTCCGTCCGCCAAGTCCTCCAGCAACACACCGCCCAAGGAGAGTCTGTGTCGGCCGAGCACCGTCGAGTTGTCTCCGGAGAAAAGGGTCGCATCCTTTAACTTCAGCGAGGAGGACTTGTTCATGGTGCTTTATGGTTACTCTGGGGGCCAGGAGAACAGCGGGGGCCACGCGATATCAGGACTGACGCTGCAGGAAAATTTAGGTGAGGCGCTTTTTGAATTTTCGGTGCAATTTTCCACTTAATGCACAATTTTAATGGACAAAAATAGTTCAAATAAACTTGCTTCCCCCTTTGAGGGCCAAGGGCCACAATCCAATAAACACGTTTGACAAATATTTATTTAGGCGACAGTTCAAACAAAAATCTTATTCTATCTTTACATTAAAAAAATAAAAAGCTAATCCTTAATTTGATGAATTTTTCAGTAATTTATTTAATAAATAATTAAGTGTTTGCTGAAATAAATTATTGATTTAAGCTCAAAAGTAGCATAATCCCATAAAAAAACTCCACATAAATATATAGATACGTTATCGTTCTGATGAACCTGTAATAAAAACATTACATTGAAAAAAATAAAATAATTATTTATATAATGATTCATAAAGAGAACGATTTATTTAATTAGTAATAAAATAATTTAATATGTGGATTACTAAACAAAACGTTTTTTCTATGTTTTACAATTTTATTATTTATGCAATTTCATTATTTCATAATTCCATAATTCAACACATCAGAAATGTGCCAAGTGTATATTTTTATAGATGGTCACTTATTTGTTAGCTTAAATAAAACTGGAATACATACAGTACAAATATCAGCATATAAAAGCAAATAAATAAACCAATAATACAAATTATTTTACTCAATCTCTCATAAAATATATATATATATATATAATTTTTAAAATATCCATCCATCCACTCATTGTCTGTTCCTGCTTTTCCCTTTGTTGTTATCCTCTCAGCTTCTGATCCCTCCATTTCCCTACTGGACAAAGAAGCTATTGAGCTCCCAGAAGGTAAGACAGAACCATCTATAATATTTTCTAATCCTACGTTATGAGGCGTTTTGAACACCGTTTCTGTGTTGCAGGACTGATCGTCCTCCAGGCTCCCTGGGGAAACACTTACCACTGTGGAATTTTCACAGATAAGGTCAGCATTCCCAAAGGCTCGCGTTTTGGACCTTTCCAAGGAAAACTTGTGAACACCAGTGAGATAAAAACATATGACGACAACACTCTAATGTGGGAGGTGAAGCTGTTGTATTTTTGAAAATAACATATTGCGATCAACTGCTGCGTCGCGTTTGACAGTAACGTCAACCTCTGCTCTCCTCTCCTCCAGGTGTTTGAGAACGGCCAGCTGAGTCACTTTGTGGACGGCAGAGGCGCTTCTGGAAACTGGATGTCTTTGGTGAAGTGCGCTCGGTTTCCCGAGGAGCAGAACCTGATCGCTGTGCAGGTCCAGGGTCAGATCTTCTATGAAGCCTGCAAGGAGATCACACCCGGCCAGGAGCTTCTGGTTTGGTACGGAGACTGTTACGCACAGTTTCTTGGGATCCCTCTCACACTGAAGGACTCCAGAGAGGACAACAACAACAGTGTTTCTCCAAGTGAAGGTCTCAATCTGCAGCTTCTCCAGAGCTTTTCTGTCTTCACTTGATCTGCATTACAAACCACTGACAGAAGTATTTTCTATTTTCTGCAGATTCAGGGGAGGGCTTCAAGTGCGACAGATGTGGGAAGGTGTTCGCATATAAATATTATCGAGACAAACACCTGAAATACACGCGCTGCGTCGACCAGGGG